TTGGAAAATTTAGAGCTAGCTTTACCTTTACTTCTCGCCTGTAAGGTTCCGATTGGCGAAATCTCCAATCCTTAACTATTAACTATTTTGGAATGAAAAAATTTTGGTTTTGCAATTTTACCTTACGTCAAATACGTTTTCCTATATTTTCAAAATTCTTGCGTTGATTTTCTGCTGGATTCTAACCTAATATCATCACTTACTTTAAAGCTAAAGTAATGTCTTCTGGAAACAAATTTGAAATTCAAGCAAAATGGAACTGCAGTTCACAATTACATTAATTTTATTAAATAAGAATGTTATGTAAGAAGTTTTATTAATTAAGAATGTTCCCTAAATTTCTAAAACTCGTGAATTGAATTACTATATTATTTATACTTAACGATTTTAACTTTTCCTGCGTTATAGTTTATTTTTCTAAACTAATTATTTCAAGTATTGATTAAAGAATTATTATTAAATAAAGAATAATGACATCACGTGTCAATTATGAACTGCATCGTTCGAAATGTTCTCAGTCAAATGAAAATTTACATTTCAAATGTTAAAGAAATTTGGAGTGCGCTCCAAAAGCTCTATGTCGTGGAGCTCACCCAGTAATTTTCCAAAATTCTAAAGCAGTAAAGCACATTCAATTTATGTTATCAAATAAATTTATTTAATCATGAATTAAATCATATGAATTAAATGATAAACTCAAAAATTGAAAAAATTTGGAGCTGGCTCCTAAAGCTCCGTGCCTTGGAATAGGCCCAATGTTAAATTTTTTATTATGCCATCATGCTCTCAGTAAAATTTTCTACACACCTTAGTAGTTTCAGGTTTCCAAATCTTTTATCTTACTTTACTGCGTAAAGATTAACATTATGTAAACATGAACACCCAAAATAAAATTAGTAATGAAGAAGGGGCTTTAATAATTAATGCGCCTATCTGGATACCTGCAAGTGACGCTCTAGATCCTGATTTGTTGCTAAAACGTGGCATTGGTTTACGTTAGCAGCTGTTCTTTCCATTCTATTTCGAGTAAGCCAAGCCCATCACAGAGATGTCAACTGCTCCGGACACGCCAAAGTAATTTAAAAAAAAAAAAACGGTAAATAACTACAAAGTAAATTTTGTAATTATTTGACTATTTTTGCTTGCTTTTTAAAAGATATAGCATGACTAATGCACCATAAAGTGGTAAATTATATAAACCTACGAATTGTTTAGAAATAGTGGTGGATAAAAATCTACTAAATTGAATTTATTAAAGCAAGAATCACAATTGATAAACTGCCACTTGAAAATCTATATTTGCTGTCCGGAGCAAGTTGGCATCTCTGCCATCAAGTATCAATTAAGTGACTCATTCTGTATTCTTTCACAAAGATTTCAATTCTTTCATTATATATTTCTTACTTAACACAACGACAGGCACAAAGCCACGTAGAGCATAAACAAACTTATTATGCATCAAAGTTGCCAGATACACAAAACAAAAATATATCAAGGTTAGCATAAAATACATAAACAAATAATAAATCTAAGCTAAGTAAAGACGTAGATAAGAAAGAATTATATTTCAACAAATTCGATGTTCGATACTAAGCTGTATTTAATTAACTTCACGTTAATTAACATTCTAACTTATGTGGAGAAATTTAACTCAACATTAACACGCCATTTTGCTTATAAACAATTAGCTGTCGCGTACGTCATAGGTTACTTATGTGGGCATCTGTAATCTTCTTCTTGAAGTGCGGGTACCCAATTGTGATACTCGTGCTAGGATGAATTAGAGTCCTAGTTTTGAAATAGGAAATGAATTATTAATACTAGTAAGATCATTCACTTTTTAGAATGAATTTTGATCTTAGATTTTGACTGATATTGTCGATGAGAAAACAAAGGAAAAAGTACAAATAAATTAAAATCTCTTTATGGTCGTCTTCAAGGAAATACTTAGTTCTAAAACTAATTACTTGTTTATTAATATGGCGCAAACCAAGGTTATTTATCCTGTGCAATTATCTGTATTGCCTAACGCATTTTTTTTAAATTGTGAAGCTAACTACTTAAAATACTTAAGCCAATTAGTAAGCCAATTGTCTATTGTGTTCAACAGAGCTATAAAATAGTTCGTTGGTCCCACCGTTTTAAGCGATTCTAAATACGTGATTTGTATATTTAATTTTGAGGTTTAATAATTCTGCTGTAAAAATTTTGTTTTTTATGCATAGTTTGGGGGTCTTCAAATATTACTTGAGCATATTGGAAATTTTGGATTTCCCTCTGCAAAAATAAGCAAAACACAAACCCCTCACATGCTTATGTAGAAAAGTTCCAACAACCCTCTTCCCAGTTTTCGCTTTAACTTAGACTTTTTGGGTAGTTATTAAGTTTTAGAAAAAAATTCAATTAAAAAGATGCAATTTTTCATTAAGAGTTTAGGTTCTAATTCTTTTTTGTAAAGTTTTGAATCGAATATTTTATCTAAATCTTTTGGGTTTTTCATTTGGGTTCAAAACTATTGACCTGTGAAACTCTTCTAAGAACTTTTTCTCCAATTTTTATTCCACATTAGAAATTATTCTACCAGTAATTTTTTCGTTAAATATTTTATTTTGCTCATTTTAAGAAAATTTTGATTCATACCCCTCCTTTTTGTCTGTAAAAATAAGTAAATCACACCCCGTTATGTGCTTACGTAATATTTGGACTGCCCTATTTGAAAAATATTGTAATACATATGATATTTTTATTCTTCCGTCTGCTTTGATTTTTTATTTTAAATTAAATAAATGAATAGAAAACATTTACTATAAAAGGTATTGTTCATTTTTACAGCTAGTTTTTGAAAATTTAACTACCAAAATGTATCCAAAAGTTAATATATTTTAATAATTTAAATTCATATTTAGAATTTCTGCTATAGTTGAATAAAATTACCTTTCGAGTTAAAAGATTTCTCCTGCAAGTGTGCTGATTTTCTTTCTTTCAATTTCGATTTCATGGATTTTGACAAATATTTTTAAACTGCCTGCTCTTCGTTTTAATAAGATTTCTTCGACGAAAGATAAAAAGGTTGAAACTTTCATACGAAGAATCATGATTAGTCTTCGCCTTTACATTTTATTAATTTTTAATGATCGGAGTCTATTTTTGGCACCAGAAAAGCTCTATTACACTACACGCCCACTAGAAAAAAAAGAAAATCACTTTAAGTCATTGTTTTGATGTTCTTATTACCCATTGACGAAATGGGTGTTGTTTTGGGCTTGATGGCGTGCGCATCTTAGTTAGACGTCATCACACTTCTCAACTGTGTTCAAGAGTAATAGTAAACAGCGCGGATGCGTCGTCATTGCTGCTGTTTGATATTTTTTTTAGAATTCTTTTTCTTTTTTTCACTTTTAATTTTATTTTATTCTGATTTCACGAACTAAGTGTCAATGGTTCAAAATGGTGACTTAAAATTTGCTAATTAATTAAAGCAAACTATATTTTTAAGGTACAAAATCAGGCACAAAATGCTTTCTTTCTCTAAATAAACGTATCTTTTTTCGACGGATTGGATTTGTGACTATCAGAATAGGAGGGAGGGAATCGCAGTCTGGGAAATATTGTCCCGTAATAAATAGTAGTTATTAAATGTAAATAACTAACTATTCAAAATTATTTTGTTCATTGCGTATTATCTTTGGATAAGCAAATTGGGTGCAAAAATTTTTGGATTCACCTAATTTTCCGAGGTATGGTCGAAATACGCAAAAAGTGTAAGTTACTTTTCGAAGGCCAAACTGCCAACCGCTCTTTGACTAAACTATTGAGACCATATTTTCTAGACTGCGAATTCAGCAGTCAAAGGTTCAAATCCGTCGAAAAAAAGGTACGTTCATTCAGCGAAAGAACATTTTTTGTGTTTGATTTCGTAACCTAAAATATCGTCTGCACTAATTAATTAGCTTATTTGAGGACATGCCATCTATTTGAACCAATAAGATAGGCTAGTTCGTGAAAATAAATTAATTAAAAATAGTCAATTGAGTGACNAAGTATTCTTGAATAGTACTATAGATATAAATAGATCTGTTTATGACGAACCAAGCACTTAGTCCCTAATATTTTAACCGGTATGACAAGGCCAAACTTCAGTTATGTACCATTGAATGAGAGGACCAATTGAACTTGATTACTGATTAATCTTCCTTTGTTTAAATTGAAGAGTCAAACAATATTATTAAAACATTATACTTTTAAAAACAAATATTCTCTAGTATATTTAATTATCAATATGTTATTAGTTCTATGTTTATTTTACCTCTTAGGTATTGTTCAGATAAAATTGTGACATAATTTGAGTAAAAAGGTTTTGGACAGTTTTGGACAAAGGGGTTTTGGACAGGACGGTTTAAACCAGGGTTTAAACCGTGGATTAATCCATTCTGTCCTAAACCTTGCCAACCCTGCTTTTAATTATATATAGTATACTATAAGTATATATACAGTGTATATGTTATAGAATAAAAATTTATCCCAATAGAATTGGAACTCTATAGAATAAAATTTTATCCCCATACAATTGAAACTGTATAAAATAAAATTTTATCCCAATAGAATCAAATCTCTATAGAATAACATTTTTACCCAGAAATTTTTTCTTCTATAGCGTTCTAATTCTATTGAGATAAAAATCGAAACTCAATGGAATAAGATTTTATCCCAATAGAATTGGAACTCTATAGATGAAATTTTATCACAATCCTATCAGAACTCCATAGAATAAAATTTTTTATCCCTATCTAAACGGAAACTAAATTTGTGAAAACACAATGAAATTTTTTTAGATAATTTATTTGAATAATTTAAAATTTTAATGTAACAATTTATAATCAAGAAACAAAATAAAAATTGTGAAAAATCATGATGTGGGAGAGGAAAGTTAGCCGGAGATGAACTATATTTTTTATTCGTTTCTGTTTTTATCATTATTCTTACATAATTTTTTTTTCTAGTTGTAACAGGTTCTACTGATGGTATAGGTAAAGCATATGCAAAAGCAGTAAGTATGGAGTTTTTGAGATTTTTGTAAATAACTTTTTATGAGTGTATAACAGTAATAAGAAATTTCATTTTATTTTACAGCTAGCAAAAAAAGGTTTTAATATAGTTTTAATTAGCCGCACATTTGAAAAGTTGGAGACTGTAGCTCAAGAAATAGGTAGGAGACAATAGTTTATTATAAATATAATATTATTACTAATTTTTTTTTTCTCTTTAAATTTCAAAATTTTTTCTACAATTTTTTTTTCTTGAAGCTTATATAAAATTCATTGTTCAGAATTACTTTTTCATTTAAAATGATATAACGTGTTAAGCCTTTTCTGATCTTTCAATAAGTTGCATTGTTACAATAAAAACCAGTTTCTCCCTATTTAAAAATGTGTTAAACGCTACTTTCTCAAAAGTTATCCGTTAAAATTTCATACATTTTTGTCAGATTTTAAGTAATCTTTGGGTTAAGTAATCTTAGTACTTATTTCTGAAAATGTAATTCTAAAATATTGATTCATTCGAATTAAAAAAAATCCAATAATTTTATAATACTTATAAGACAAGACTTTCCAAGTATTTGAGCCCAAGGTGTTTACTAAATAAAATTCATAATTTAGGTTTTCAAATTTATAATATGTTTATTAAAGCCTTGTATTTCTATTTTATCAAAAAAGCATTATAATTTTATAATAAATCCAATCTTTTAAAAAATACAAAATCAGTCTATTTTATATCAACCAAGACTATTATCATGTTATATTCATAATACTAATCCTGTTTATTTACATGTTTTGACAATTTGTTCATTCATATTTCTCTAAAAAGTGTTTCCTTGTACACAGGGTGCTCTCACTGCCTCGAATATATATTTTTAGAATGCATTAATGTTTATGGAAATTAATATTTAAACAAGGAAAAAATAAACCCTATCAAACGCATCATTAAAAGGAAGGCAACACTAAAATATTAAAATCCTGTTTGATTACCAGAATGTAGTGAGAAATGAAAAGAAATTATTAGCAAAAAACAACCTACAAATTTCTTCGAGCAATCAAACTGGTTTTAATTTTTTTCATGCTTAATTTACCAATATATTTTAAATTTATAAATATTACTATGATTCACTCCCTTTTTCATTATATTTATTAGTCTCTTTTACAAAAAAATGTTTTAGTTTTATAAAAATACGATCACTAAAATAATAAATGTGCAACATAATTCCATGCAATTTTTTTTTACACAGTTTATGTTTTTAAGAAACCAATTCAAATAAATTCCTAAATTTTATCACATAATCGCTAAATAATTTAGATTGAAGGTACTTTTAGTCCTTATAATTATTTCGATATAACTAGTAAAGAAAAAAGAAATTGAGATATTACCTGGAAAATTCTCATTTCACATATTTCTACACCTTTGCAAAATGCTTGTATCCCCTATTCTGATGAACTATTGTATTTTTTAAGATGATCCCTAAAGTGATTATTTTTTTTCTAACTAATAAGAGATATTATGTAATTTTTTAATATCTCGATTCTATATCACATGGTTAATCAAATTTTTTTTCTCCAGAGAAATCATATTCTGTGAAAACTAAAGTTGTTGCTGTTGATTTTACAAAAGATGTGGATATTTACGATATTATTAGACGAGAAATTGAAGATTTGGACATTGGTGTTTTAGGTAATTATTCAAAAAAAAAAATTTTTTAATATAATTTTTATGCTTAACTGGTGAGTACTTTTTCAATATAGCGTCTATTACCAAATTCTGATCCATATTATAATTTAATTTTTAATTTATCTCTTTATTACTTGGAGGAAAAATAATGTATGGATATTTCAATATTACAGTAGGGAACCGATTATCCGGAACGATCGGGACCATCGCTATTCCGGATAACTGATTTTTCCGGTTTTCTGAATCGATACAAAAAACCGTTTTTTTTATTGTTAAACCCAACTAAAAAAATACAAAAATAGTTGGAAATAATCTTAAAAAGAAGAAAAAACGATGAAGTAATACATTAATGATTATTTCCAAAATGATGGTAAGGTAAACATCTTTAAAAAAAAAAGAAAAATCCTAAAATCTTATGAGAAAAAAAACTTTTTTTTTAAAAAAATGGCGGGAAAATTTATCGAATTTCGTTCCGTTTTTTTGGTTTTCCGGTTTTATGATTTTCGGATAACTGGTTCTGTACTGTATTATGCTAATAATTATGAAACAAAATTTCACATTTTAAATTAATAAAAATATAAACTTATAATTTATTTCCCAGTTTTGATTGTAAAAAGCAAACTTTCGGTTGAACTCCAAGTTTGTTAAGGTAATTGTGAATGTTATAACTTAGAAAAGACTACTTTTAAGATATTTAATTAGAGGAATGAAAATTTCCATCGTTTTATCTTTAATAATCTTAAAATAATTTTTATATCTGACATGTGCAATAACTAGTCTAATTATGATTTTTATTTTTTTTGCATGTACATAAATTACAATTTATTAGAATATTTGTAATTGTAATTTACATTGAAACGACAACTTAAAAGAGCTGTTATAAACATTGAAAATTGGTTATTAGGGAAACATATTTCTTTATCAAAGAATTCAGTTATTTTATTTTGATTTGCAAAGCGCGATCGGAAATACCAATGCAGTATTTTATAAATGCTTGTCCTTTTCATAATTTGTTCAATATATTTTTTTGTAGATATACTATAGTTCGTTTTAAAAAATGACATTTCACTTGAAATTATTTCAAAAAGGCAATCAATTATTAAATAAATTAGGAATTATAGGTTGGACCTAAATATAATTTGAGGTTTCAAAAAATTCACCACTAGTTATAAAAAGTACTCCTATTTAACTCTATCGTAACACCATTTGGGAACCGCAGCTGTAGAGAGTAATTATAGTCTATTATTATAATAAAAGTTGAGTGTCAAGTTTATTTCAGTGAATATAGTTTTTCTTCACCATTTACAATTAGAGTAGTTATCAACAAAATATCTATTTAAAAGTGTTAAATTTAACGTATTTGGAGTGGTTTATGATAAAAATTAAAAAATTTTTTTTCATTTTGTTAGAATTTTGAGAAGAAGATAATCAGAGTTTTTAGAATAATTTAAATACTGCCTTGTGTTGTATAGCTTTATTTATTTATTTTTTTTTATGAAAAAAAATCTGATTTGAAAGTTAGATCTTTTTATTAAATTTTTCCTTACTAATGTATGAAAAAATTATTTTCAGTTAACAACATTGGGATGAGTTATAAATATGCTGAGTATTTGACAAAGATTGTGGATGGAGTGCAGGTATTTTAATTATGATAATTTATTTAAATATTTAAAGATAATTATTTCTTAATAACAGGGTGCTCAGCGTTTTTAAAAAGTGCTTATTTTCGACTTTCAAAAGCCCTTAAAGGTTCTTTTTTTCATTGGGTGCTTATAACTGAAAAATGTGTTAACAGTTTTGAAGGGCATNATAACAGGGTGCTCAGCGTTTTTAAAAAGTGCTTATTTTCGACTTTCAAAAGCCCTTAAAGGTTCTTTTTTCATTGGGTGCTTTTAAAAAGTGCTTAATTTTCCCTTTTTCAAAATGAGATTTTTCCTTTACTATGTTGATTTTCGCTTCGAATTATTAAAAAAGACACAGTTCACATTGTTCTATTCAACGTTTTCACTATTAATTTAAACCCAATCAATCTACTTCGGTGTATTATCAGTCCGTAGCTTATGAAAACGCCATTCGCTTTACATGATTCAAAATTTCATGATTTTTGACAATTGTCAAAAACAATGCCAAAAGTTTTTTTCTTCTTTTGACATGACGTTGTTAAAACAAGATAAAATCGTCAATTGTCAAAAACTTTCCAACCCTGCCTATTTATGATATTTTTTTAAAGTGCTTAAAAATATTTTTTGAGTGCTTGAAAAGTACTTGTTTTTTGTTGTGTAATTTGGCTATGCACCCTGATTAATCTTAATAAAGTTGTGGATTATTTTCACTTTTTATTCTATTAGGGTTAACGAATAAAAGTGAAGGGACAGTATTACATAATTTTCATCCTATTTAAAGTACATCCTAATAACAAAAGATCTATATGTTTTAAACATATTAATTCCCCCCTTTTCTTTCAGTTTAGTGATGATTGCGTAAAAGCTAATATCACATCATGTACTAGAGTAAGTTCTCCTGATTTTTTCTTTTTATTTAAATAAAACACTTTTAATTTCATGATATGATTGCAATCTTATAAAAATTTATTTTTTTCCAGATGACTATGCTTGTATTGCCAGTTATGGAGAAACTTGGCAAGGGTGTTATCTTAAATGTTTCATCCTTAAGTGCTTTATCACCTATGCCACTTTTAAGTTTATATAGTGCCACTAAGGTAAAGTGTTTCATAGAGTCTAGATAGTTTTATTCACAGTTCTAAAATTGGATAAATTTTTTTTAAAACAAAGATGAATATTAATTAGATAATATGCATATTATTTATTATAATTTTATTACCAAAACTCAGATTTGAACAATCCAAAAAAAATTCTTAAAATGTCCCTAAAAACAAACAAACTCATATGTAATTAAACATAACTTTCAATCTGAAAAAATATTTCCTTTTAAAATTTAAATATTAAAATACAAATTTTGAGAGAAATCGTGTTACAATTTTTATTAAAGTTTAAGTAAGTGTTAAATTGGGGAAAAATTACACAAAAAAAAAAAAAAATACCAAAANCACTGTCTCAAAAAAAAAAAAAAAAAATACCAAAATTGTAGGAGACATTAAGAGAAAGTATGAAAAAAAAACTGTAAAAAAAATTAGATGTATGGTAAATAAATATACCTTAAAATCTCTCAACATGCCTCAAAGAGAACCCAAAAATGAACGTTATCGAAATATGGCTGATATTTACTGCCAAAATTCTGATATAAGATATTCAGTTATGGATTTCTTAAATCAGAGTTAAGAAATTTATAATTTGATCTTCTTTGAGTTCGAATAATTCTTTTCTTTTTATTATTATCTTACCTGTTTTATTTAATTTGGTTCTACTTTGTTGATAGATTTCTGGGTAATGTAAAATGGCAAATACAATTTATTTTAGCATTTTAGTTACCCAGGGAATTTAAAGAAAATATCACAAAACAAACAATTTTTAAACATTGAATTGGTTAAGGGTATTTATATTTTTAAAAAAATACTTATCTTTCATATTTTTGTTTCATTCTATTCTTAAATACTGCATCCAACTTATTTTAAAACGATTTCATTATTTTAAGCCTACTTAATGTTTGAATTCTGTGCAATATAGCAAATAACCCTACTGTCAATTTTTAAAGACTTAGATATTTTGATATTCAATAGTTATATACATTAGCGAGACTATTTTAAAATTAAATTTTCTATTGTACCTGTATGAAAGTATTGTTTTACTTTTAAAATTAAGTCAATTTTTTGTGTTGTAATTTTACTATTGTAAGTATAAAATAATTCATCTTCTTATTTATTAGGTATATGTTAAGTTTTTGACTGAAGCTGTGCATGACGAATATAAATCCAAAGGAATTATAATTCAGGTGATTATTTTTGTGAACTTTCAATTTTTACTTGCACAAAATTTCGTAAGCCTAGCTTAAATATTTATGGAGATATAGACATTTTTTTAAAAAAACTAATTTTTTTATCTTGTTTTTTGCTGTAACTTTGAAAATATTCAATAAAATTGTTAGAGCAATTTAAATTTTTAAATTTAATTAATAAAATTTTTGCTTTCAAATGTGAGAAAAACTATTTTAAAACTGCGAAAGATATGAGTAATTAAAGTAGTTATTTTATACTGCGCGTGCGTCATATAAAATAAGATTCACTACTAAAATTAAGAATTTTTTTTCTTAATTTTGTCGTAAATCTTATTTGGCAACTAATAAAAAACAAGTCCTATTTGAATATCTTAAGAAGTTTCCAATTTTTTAAGTAGTTTTCATATTTTTTAAAAGAATGCTCAAGATGATAAGGGGTTTTCCACATATTTCATTTTGTACAATTGAACAAGATTTATTAAAAATGACTCCGGCATTGTTCGGGATCATCTAAAGGTATATTTTTTTCGCCTGTTTTCTTTCCTCATTAAATCAGATTTTAGTGTATGAACGTTTATTGTCAGGGATTATCATTTGTTACATTCTGTTTTATGATACAAAATAATGTTTGTAGGAAAACCCATATAATTTTAAGCTTCCTTTTAAAAAATACGAAAACTACTTGAAACTTTTAAGATATTCAAATCATACTTTTTTCATTAGTTGCCAAATACAATTCATTACAAGATTAAGATTTTTTTTGTAAAAATTGTTTTCGTGTAAGTGCAGTATAAAAGAACTACTTTAATTGCACATATCTCACACAGTTTTGAAGGAATTTTTCTCCAAGTTTAAAGCAGATAATTTTGTAATAAATTTTAAATTGTGTTTCATTTTATTGAATATTGTTAAAGTTTTAGCAAAAAACCTTAGACAAAAAAATTTGTTTTTATAAAAATGTTCACATTTCTATAAATATTTAAGCCAGGCTTATGAAATTCTGTGTAATTATTGCATATAGTACTAAAAAAAACTGTCACAAATCTACTGCTACATTTTATAGTATAGGGTGGTGAAAAATATTATTTTCATTTTGTAATTTGTTGCTGGTCTCTCAAACCTATACTTCATTGATATGTATGAGAAATCGAATGATCTAAACACTTCTGAAGTTATAAAATAATTTTATAAGTATTTCTGGAGAAATATGAAAAAATGTATTAGTGTAGAACCGTTTCTGTTATTTTGTCCTCCCCCTTTATATTTAAATAATTGTGCAACAGACTATTTGGAAGTGTTATTTCTGACTTTCAATGTCACAAATTGATTCATATTCTTACTTGATGTATGTATCAATCATTACTTACTGCATAAACTGTGTTGAAGTGTCTCATTTATCTGCAAACTATTTGATATACTTTGCAGATAATCTTTTTATTATATTATTTCGTTATTCAACATAAGTGTTTTTATAATTGTACAAGATTTCATAGTGGTAGTGTGGTGTGGCAAGTTAATTTTTTCCATGTCAAATTGAGAATCCGTTCCCCCTTTTCTCAGTTCTTAAGTTGCTATTTCGAAGCAAAACTGATAAAAAATATAATAGTTATAAAAATATTAAAATGTAATAAATTTTTAAAAAATTTTGTTGGAAACAGTGAAAAAACAGCTCTAATTTTATATGCAGTTACATATTTTAGCTTTCAAAATACTGATTAAAAAAAAAGCCTGATATGTTTGAATCGACATAAGATTTTAGTTCTAAACAAATTAACACTACACATTTTTAGAATTTTTGTTGAAAATGAAGTAAAACAATTATTATTAGGCACTGCAAATAAATATTAAAATGCAATATAGTTTTTTGAAAATGAAATGTTTTTAAGTATATCCTAATGTGTATGTAATAACATTTGAATTTGTACACTTTATTATTTTACTCTTTTTGTATTTGAATTGCATTCATTTTCTTAATTTATGTTCTAGGCTGTACTACCTGGTTTTGTTTCAACCAATATGTCTAAAATGCGACCAAGTTTCACAACTTGCACACCTGAAGCTTTTGTTAAATGGGCTATGAAGTCAGTTGGAGTGGAAATGAGGACGTATGGCTATCCTGTCCATAAACTTCAGGTGAAAGAATTTAAATTTATTCCAGACTCTTATCTATCATGTTTTAAAACCAATTTTAAAATAATAGTTATTTAAATATTTCATTATTATAACTTTCAATTAAGGTCAAAGTTCATATTTTTTTCCATTATGTTTATTTGGAAATGTGTTCTAGCACTTTTAATCTTGACACTAAACAGGTAGAATCTGATTGCTGTCTTGTACAAAAAAAAAATCTGTTTTTCTCTACACTGTTCAAAAGAAAAATGCTGATAGCCAGGCTATCTAGCTTGATATTTTCACTATTTTTTGATACAATCTTCTGACTTTTGATATTGTTTATTTTGCAGGGATATATTCAAGAAGCTCTGATCCAGTATTTACCCGAGAGCCTTAATCTTTCAATTGGACACAGCATGATGCAGGGAATAAGAAAGAAATATTACAAAAAGTTTGGCTTAACTGATAAAGAAAAATAATAATGTTCAACTTCTTTTTCGTATATGTTATTTCATCACTCTTTTTTTTTATTTGTTAAATCTTATAACACAATGCTGGTACATTCCGAACAAAGTTCTTTTTCTGGTATACTGTCATTGAAACTTAGGAAATAAAGGTTTTGTAAGAAATTTATTTTCTTTTATTTCTCAGAAATAACACCGTGACTACCACTACTTCTTAAAGGGTGGGTTACATTATGACCACCCTCCATCTATAACAATGGGCTTGCCCAGGTTTTCATGGGGCACATTAGGACCCATAATATTCATAGAACAATCCCTGACGTCTGTAAGCTACTTGAACATAGTTGCAGACCAGGTTCACCCATTCATGGCAACAGTTTTTCCTGCGGGGGATGGTGTTTACCAACAGGATAATGCACCATGTCATAAGGCAGGGGTGATTGTGAGGCCAAGTCAAAATTCCGGAAAATTTCTTGAGTTAAAAAAAAATAAGTTTAAATTGAAAAAAAATTTAAACAAGGTTTTTTTCCTATATTTCTTAGTTTACTTAAAATATATTTAAAATTTTACACATACCTATACCATATACACATACCTATGATGACCTGGAGAAGTAATTAAAATTTACAAATATCTCTTTCTTTCTTGAGTTTATGATTATAACAACTATTTACTGATAAAAAAAGGAATATTAATCATGAATATAAGCTTATAAAGTATCTCTCTGGCTCTCCCTTACAAACAAATAAAATAAACTGTGTTTTTAAGTTCCACCTTTGAAAATTTGATTTCCGGAAACTTCTGTGATAAATGATATTTTGAAACGTCTGGACCTTCGATCTCCGGAAACTTCCAGATCACTGCTAGCGAAAATTCCGGAAATCCGGATTTTTTCCGGAGCACAATCACCGCTGATAAGGATTGAATCATCGAAAGACATTCCAGTGACTTTCAAGTCATGTCTTGGCCCCCAAATTCACCTGACCTTAATCCAATAGAGCATTTGTGGTCCTACTTGGAAAACCAAATTCGTGCCGCCACGCTACCCCCTCGCAATGTGAGGGAATGGTACCAGATACCTCAGATTACGTATCAGCACCTTGTGAAATCAATGCCACGGCGGGTGCTAGCAGTTTTGAGGGCTAAAGGTGGTCTTACATGTTATTAGCAGGGTGGTCATAATGTAATGGCTCTTCGGTGTATATTATATAGTTCACCTCCAGCAGTAGTCGCAGAGTTTACTACTCGCGATAGAAAGGTACAGATGAAACATTCTAGCAGTTTTCGCTTGCAGTCGGTAAAAGAAAATAATTTTGATTGACAGTTTTGCTAGTGATGATGGGCCATACATATAAAGATGCAGTTGCTACATCATTACAATTTAAAATGTTGAGTGTGAAAATGAGGATATTTTTTTTCTAACTTTGATTTTAAAGGTAGAAGTGATTCTTTAACAAGTAACTTTTTAGAAGACAATAGATCTATTTATACAGTCAAACTCTCTATAATAAATTCTAGCTTTCTTACCCATGTAAAAATTAACAGTTTAACAAAAGATCCATATAAAAATTACTTTTGAAGGTTTACCCTCCCCCAAAGAAGCTGTCAAGTACCAGATTCTAAAAAAAAAAAAGATGTCAAATTAAGCAAGGCAAATATAATTAAAAGATAATTTATTTCTCCATTATCACACATTTCTGGCTATAAACGCCAAGATAAATAACAGAAAAACTTATTGAAATTAAAGCACACAAGGTAAAAAAAAAAGTAAAACAAAATGGAAGCAAACTTATTTAAAAACTACGATAATTTACAGGATATACATATCACAAACTCCAAGGCATCAGTTCATTTTTATAAAACAATTAGTCATAAAGCTGTTGTAAGTTAAATAAATGCAAGGAGATTTTTGCATCAAGATAAATGCAGATTATTATCCATCATTAATAGATAATGAATAAAATTATCTTGGTATATGTCTTAAAATGTAAAATTTTTTTAGTGTTTAAGTATTTTTAATGGGTAACAATAAAAAAAAATACCTTAAATGATTTTAAGACTGATATTGAGAAAATGAGATTATTGGATGCAAGAGGGAAAAAATTCAATTAGTGCTAATAACAAGAAAATTGAGCTAGTAAATTTTCAATACATAAAAAATTAAGTAGTATCAATAATTGTAGCGAAAATATGTATCAGTGTTTGAAGAGTTTTTAGAAATATGTTTTTGCTATTCTTAACAGAAAGATTCATTAACATTTTGATTACAGTTTATAAAGAGCAAATTAAGGAAAATATTTTAACAGTATTTTATAAATGCATAAAAAGTCCATATATTATGTTGGTTTGAAATAAATTTTTAAAATACATGGCAGAATTTCACTGATGCTTTAGAAAATTGAAGAATTTCAAACCAGAAATAAAAACTTATATTTCTTTTATGTCCATGAAACTTAGTTCAATGAATTCTTTATCCAATAGTGAAAAATAATTTCTTAATTTTGACTTTAATTTGAATAGGGTGCTGATTTTAATATGAATAGATATAGCGTTTGCTTTAAAAATTCTTTGTAGAACATCATTCATATACAAACTTTTCATTAATTTAGAAATTCAACTATAGAGCGAAACATGGGTACAAATGTTTCTAATAGTCCGTGCTTTGTGTAAGCACAAAAAATTAACAGTTAAAAGAATAAAGAGTCAAATTTAACAATTATAAATTAGCATTCATATTTTAATTATATATATATTGTTCATCTACTAAGTCTTGTACAACACATTTAATCTATAGCACACAACATTATATAATTTGATGAAGACAAAATATAAATCTGATGAAATGTTACACAGCTTCATGAAGCATAATTTTTTGTAAATGAGAATAAAGCACTGCATTTTTTTAAATGTAATTTCATCTGAGCTGAATCCAGAGCTGCCAAAGCAAAAATTTATGCACTATTTGCTTTTTCTTAATAAACACATGAAGGCTCAATTCTTAGTTCCAAAGTGTTACATAACAAAGCATATCAAGCATTTTTTTTTGTTTATACAATCTTAAGTTTGTACAAAATTTGTTCAGCTTTTACTAGGTGACAAAGGAGATTTTGTTCCTTTCATAAAAACCTCAGAGTTGATATTTTTTTCATCTTCTTCCTCCCTGCAAAGAGTGGTTGTTATTTACAACTTTACTTTAAAAAATAAATAAATAACAGGATTCAACAAAAAATAAGCACTTTTCAAGCACTCAAAAAATATTTGTAAGCACTTTAAAAAAATATCATAACTAGGCAGAGCTGGAATGTTTTCGACAATTGATGGTTTTACCTGGTTTTAACCGTCGTGTCAAAAAAAAACAAACAACCCCCAACCTTTTGGCATTTTTTTTAGACAAATGTCAAAAATCATGAAATTTTTAATCATGTAAAACGAATGGTGTTTTCATATGCTAGGAACTGACAATACGGCGAAATAGATTGGGGTTAAATTAATTGTGAAAACTTTGAATAGAACAATGTGAATTGTGTCTTTTTGCATAATCCGTATCTAAAATTAACACGGTAAGGGAAAAATCTCATTTTGAAAAAGGGAAAATTAATCATTTTTTAAAAACACCCAATGAAAAATGCACCTTTATTTTTAAAAACATTATACACCCTGTATATGGACCTAATGTTACATTTCCTCATTTAAATGGATATTTGTTATTTCTAGTCCTCGCTTAATTGCATAAAGAAAATGTACTGAAATGGAAAATAAATTGTTTATTTTTAAGAAATGTTTCAATCGCTAGAATTGATTTTCCGTTCTTCAGTTATGAATACAATAGGTGGTCACTTCAGTAGGGACGTCCTGTTCATTTGTTGCTCTAAACAGGTGTTAAGGATATAGTTTAAGAATTAATTTAATCTTGCTGGCAGTTTATACATTGAAGTAAACAAAGTGGGGGTNAACCTTTTGGCATTTTTTTTAGACAAATGTCAAAAATCATGAAATTTTTAATCATGTAAAACGAATGGCATTTTCATATGCTAGGAACTGACAATACGGCGAAATAGATTGGGATTAAATTAATTGTGAAAACGTTGAATAGAACAATGTGAATTGCGTCTTTTTGCATAATCCGTATCGAAAATTAACATGGTAAGGGAAAAATCTCATTTTGAAAAAGGGAAAATTAAGCATTTTTTAAAAACACCCAATGAAAAATGCACCTTTAAGGGCTTTTAAAAAACGCAACGCACCCTGAATAATGAGTAAATAAAATTTTAATCAATTTTTAAGTTAGTAACAACCAACTCAAATGATTCTTCAATCTTATCTTATTTAAAAAATAAATAAAATAATGTTGCTAATTAAGAGATGCCAATTTTTCAAACTAGCAATCAGTAATTAAAAGTAAAATAACACAGAAATCTATACAATAAGCGTTTAAGAAACTAAAATTAGTACAGGTTTTAGATGTATAAACAACTTAATTCTATAAAGGTATATAATAATAAAATTATGCATTAATATACTATTAAATAAGAAAAAAACATTTAGATAAACATACTAAATTAAATTAGAACTAGCCCTTAGTGCGTTTTTATAAACCCTTCATTTGAACCACTAAACATTTTTGCTTATAGCATTTCAGATGAGTTAATGAACTTTTGCTTTTATGTAAGAAGTTTCAGAATAGCTTGTTGGAAGGGGAAAAGATGAGATTTATTTGTTTCAATCAAATCGTGTTTTCATTTATTGTTTTTAGAATTGTTTAAGGAATAGAAAAAAAAATAATCATAGATTTGTTGCAAACCACAAAATTTCATAACTCTTGGCATTTAAGAGAAAAACTCATTTTAAACAGATTGTGGAAATTCTCAAAAACTGTAATTTTTATTATTCAACTCAACTTGCAATTTTTATTACTCAATCTTGACTATAAAACCATAATAATTACTGATAAATTGTAATAGTTGGCAAACGTACTATTTAAGTAGTTATCTTTAATATTGTAATTTCTACAAATGAAAATTACATATTTTTTTTCTTTTCAAAACGAATAGAAAATTTGGTACTTTTCCATTATACCACCGCCAATAATGATGCAACCTAAGTCAAACGGAATATCGCTTCTGGTAACTTTTTGCCCCCGCATTTTCAAAGCAAGTTGTTGCCATTTTTTCCTCATCAGTCACGTCTTTTTCTTAATAGGAAAAATTTACGCAAAAACAATGAAAATTTGGGGTTTGCCCAAAACAGAGAAAGAAGCAGTACGATTCTTTCAAGAGAAAGGCATTTTGGCTGAAATCGCAATTTGTGGTGAGAATCATGAAATGAAATTGTATATCGAAGATGAAATTCAATGCATTGCAACCTTTCATCTTGTCTGCTGTAAAAGAAGTATCCGTAAAGGCGCATGGTTTCAGTCATCGAAGTTGAGCTTTTTGAAGAGTTTATTTATTGTTGGAGCGAAGAATTAACTTAAGTTAAATGGTGTGAAAAGCAGTTGGAAATCAGACACGGAACAGTTGTAGACTGGAATAGCTTTATGCATGAGGTTTGTGTGAATTCTTTGTTTAATTGTAAACAACGAAAAATAGAAGGACCTGGCACTATCATCGAAGTGGACGAAAGTTTGTTTACGAAGGCTTAAAAACAATGTGGGTCGGATTCTACCACAACAATGGATATTCGGTGGAGTTTGCAGGGCGAGCGGATGTTTCTTTGTGAAAGTGCCAAACCGATTCACGAACAACTTATTGAAGGCAATTAAGGAAAATATCGAAAAGAAACTATAATATATTCCGATTCATGGAAATTATACTGACTAGTAAACTGGAAGATGAAAATTTCGAACATTTCAAAGTAAACCATAAGTACAACTTAGTCGATCCGGAAACTGGAATGCACAAGCAAAAAATAGAGTGACTGTGGGGCAGAGCTCAATGGCGAAATAAGAAACACAGAAGAACAATAGCAAGCCATCATCTCGAAAGTTATTTGGCAGAATTTATGTGGAGAAGGCAAACAGAGGACCCATTTGAAAAATTTTTGAGCTATATTAAAATATTTATTAATTTTTTTTAAATGTCAATGCTGAGTGCTGTCGCCAAAAAGTCTGCTTGGAGAGATTTGCTCCGGTATAATGGAAAAGTACTGAAAATTAATAGACTAACTAATTTGTTACTACCCTAGAAATGAATGAAATGAGCTGAAATTTATGTTAAAATAAGTATTTTTGCTAAAATAATTGCACAATGGGGATGGGAAAGAGTAACAAACTAAATCATTTTTGATTTAAATAATCAAAACCTTCATATCAAAATTCTAATTAACTGCTGTTTATGTTAAGCATGATTATGTCAATAAGTATTGAAGGATTTTAAACAACAAAATGCATGTTTCGTTTCTTAAAATAAAACGCATATCACAACATCTTTGTTAAATTGAGGGTTTCAAAAATAGTCTTTTTTTCAATACAGTGACAACACGTTTAAGTCAGAAAAATTTACATTGCGAAATTTCACATTCTTTTTTAAAGAATTTTAAATTAACAGGATTTAAAGATTAACTGTTATAATGCCTAACTTTCCCAATTCCTCATTTTTAAGGCCTCACTCATCTATCCATCTCTTTCTCGGTCCTTCCTATTTTGTTGACTAAGGTATTGACAACTAAATATCTTTTTTATGCATCTGCTGTCAGGGCTAAAGAGAATACAAGGGCTAGTTCACTCCGCTCTTAGAGCTGAAGCTACGATTTCCCTCTTCATGACGTTACTGTGTCCACAGATCTCGGACATCGCAAGCAAAGATATGATAACTTTGCATCTTTCTCTTTGTAAAAATAAGTTAGACTTTACACATTCTAAGCTTTCTNAAAATAAGTATTTTTGCTAAAATAATTGTACAATGGGGATGGGAAAGAGTAACAAACTAAATCATTTTTGATTTAAATATTTAAAACCTTCATATCAAAATTCTAATTAACTGCTGTTTATGTTAAGCATGATTATGTCAATAAGTATTGAAGGATTTTAAACAACAAAATGCATGTTTCGTTTCTTAAAATAAAACGCATATCACAACATCTTTGTTAAATTGAGGGTTTCAAAAATAGTCTTTTTTTCAATACAGTGACAACACGTTTAAGTCAGAAAAATTTACATTGCGAAATTTCACATTCTTTTTTAAAGAATTTTAAATTAACAGGATTTAAAGATTAACTGTTATCATGCCTTATCATGCAATTCCTCATTTTTAAGGCCTCACTCATCTATCCATCTCTTTCTCGGTCTTCCCTATTTTGTTGACTAAGGTATTGACAACTAAATATCTTTTTTATGCATCTGCTGTTATCCATTCTTTTCATGTTTTCTTAAACCGTGGAATATTTTTTGATTTTATATGGATTATTATATCCTTTTATTCAAATAGTTTTTGGATTTCATGGTTGAATCATTTCTGCACAACAATTTCTAACTGGTCCGAATGCCTCTAGATTTTTTTCTCTCCCGGGAGATTAACATCTTTTCATGTTCTTGGTTAAGGTGCAAGTCTCTTAATATAGATAAATGTTGGTTGGTTCAGTTTTATACACACTAAGTTAGTACTATAAAGCTTAGGCGTGATTTGCTCATTGCTGAAAAATTAAGTTATAAATGGCAATATATATTTTATATTTGTTAATGTACGCAGAAAAATGTTTTGCTTTTGTAAATCAGTACACCAATCTTATATTTCTATCAGAACATAATTAAATCAAATTTCATTGATAAACCATTAATAGCGATTGACCAATTATTTAACTTGGGCATATTAAAAAAAGAAGAATTTTATTTACCGTAATCTTAGTTGTTCTAAAACAGTAACAAGCTCATTTCGTTTATCTACTATTTTGAGCATTTCGTCTAAAATTTTTCTTTCCTCGATCAACTGTGTTGCATTTTTGTGAGAGCCTATTGGGTTATAAACACATGATTAAACATACAGCAAAAATTAAGTATCATACAAGTTACAATATAGTTTCAAGAATTTTGTTATTAAAGTCTTACCCTGAGCCATTCTTTCAGTAATCTCTTGTTGAAGTCGACAATGGCGATCTTCTAATTCTAGATCCTTCAACCTGAGATACATAAATTATCAGCACATAAATACCATGTGTAATTTGCAAAACTATAAAATAAGAGTTCTTACAAATAAATATTTTCTGTCCATATTTATCAAATTTTTTAAAAAAAGTAGCTTCAATAGAGTTTTTAATATTTTAACAAAATAATATTGTTATATATCATTGTTATCTAAGTAGTGATTAATTTTCAGTAAAGTTTGTTTAAAAAAATATTTAAAAATAAAAGTTCCTTATCCGATAAATTTCCATTCAATTAATAAATAGTTTATTAACCTTTTCTATTCATACAGATGTGTAACAATTATTTTATTCCTATAGGTCTAGATTATGGGTGGCAAGCAATTAACCATTATAAAATCAAAAACTTCACTTTAAAACACTTAAGAGTAAGAATTAAATTATTATAATTCATTTAATATTTTTCTTCTCATTGAGATTTTTATTTTAAAAGATTTTTAAACTTTGCAAAACAATAGAAAAAACTAAGATAACTGTAAATAGAGTAAAAAGTTCAAGCATTCCGGAAACCCATTTTGAGGTAGTGTGGTCCTAGTCATAGAGATTCAGAACGACACATACAGGCTGGGATAGCCTGGTCGGTAGGGAGCTGGGCCCATGATCGAGAGTTCGAACCCCGCCGGCCGAAGATTTCCCGTGCAGTTGGTGACTAATGCACGTAAAATTCTGTCAAGTCACAAAGTCCTCCATGTTCCCATAACAAATCAATACCTCTGGGGGTACTGGATTGGAGATTGATCGCTTTCTGATTCAGGTCAAAATTACAATCTATGGATGAATGAATGGATTTATGAATGGGTCCGCCTCATAAACAGATGTGACGTATGATGTGGCAGAAGTCGAATTCTTGGCCATAAATGGCGCCACTGAAACACAAGAATCACACACTCTGCTTTAAATTTGCTCTGTTTCACCAAGCAGGCTTGGCCTTGTGGCACTAGAACCAACCCAAGAACTACACAATTTTGTTACCAATGGTACAGTGGTGGTAATTTAGTTAACATTGCCTATGGACCGCCTTAAGTTCCTAGATAAAATGGCATTCATCAAATTAAAATAGTACCTACTGCAACTTTTCCCAAACTAGATAAGTTATTCAGAATTTCTTGATTTATTTTGGACATTTTAACAAAATTTTTATTTCTAAAAATGTGTATTTTCTTTGATCATAGTGAAGTAGACAAAAATCCTTCCATTAAGGAAAATTTTATGCTAAAATGTATAACCTAACAATCTAGTACAACCCGAATTGGGGTACTTATCTTGTGAGTTGCTTGAAATAGAAATAATCTAAAGTAGAAGTTCATAAAATAATCAATTATATAAGAATGACTAGCACAGTGCTTTTGCCCTTTAATCTTTTTCTTTGCTCAAAAAGTAGTAGATGAAACATATCATTGCATTAGCCGCCTACTTCTCTTCTTTGCTCTAATATTTGTTATCACTTCTACGCTAAAATATTAAAGTTATGCTGCATAATTGAAGTAACTTTTAAGAAAAAATATTGAATTTAAAGAACTAGAATATTTAAAGAACTAGAGTATTTTCATGCTGCAGTATTAAAAAAAAAATCGATGCATAACATCATATTTGTTTTCTCGCACAAAATTGTTTTACCATAACTAGCACAATAATATAGTTGTATACAATAGCATAATTAGAAGGAAAATAGGATAATTGCATAAAATAAGATAATGGAGGAAGATGATCTTACCGAATTAAAAGTTCTTGAACTTCTCTGGTCAATCTATTTTTAGTGTGGACCAAAGTATACCACTCAAGCTCGGCTTCTTCTTTACCGTCTCGAACACCTGCAAAATTTAAACAGCATTTGCACTTTGCAAAAACTGTAGTACACACAAAAATTACATTAATAGAGGAGAAAAAAAGGAGATCAAAGCAAAAGCAAAGAATAATCAGCACAAAGAATTTAAATAAGTCATAAAATAAGTAACTAAAGAGTCAAGCAATAGACAAGAAAGCGTGGTAATGAAAAAGAAGTGAATTTATAAATTGAAAAATATTGCACTCAATTATAAAATTTGTTTATTCAAAGGTAATTCCAAGCAAAAATAAACTTTTATATCTTAATATTTTATGTAATATAATTTGAATTGTAAGGTAAACAAACTTTTATATCAATATAAAGAATGTAATTTTATAAAGCAAAACATAAAATATGAACAAAATCGGCCGAATAGTTACTGAGAAATTGAATTTTACGCTAAATAAGTTCTTCAGACATGTAGTAAAATTAATATTAAGGGGTTCAAACTTTTGACATCTCTTTTAACTAAACTATTGTGACCATATTTTTCATGTTGAGGCTAGAGAAAATGATTCTTCTGTTAGTAGCTTTATTGAGGACCACGGAAAGTAACTAAAAAGTAAGTAAAACTAAAGGTAAACTCAAATATTTTTTACAAGTCAAAAATTAAAAGCTCAAGTTAAAACTTTCTGACAAACATTGCAATAGCAACTACATACTAAATAAAGAAATATATTTTAGCTCAATGAGCATTGGTTGCTCAAAAAGTTTTGAAGCAAATAGTTTTACATTAATAATGGTTTGCAATATTTTCAAAATAAGTGAGTCACAGGCAAGGTTAAAGTGTAAAGGATTCAAACATATACAATGTTTTATTTACATTACTTATCTTTAATAATAAAATAAATATATGATTTTCAGCATTTTATTTTTCAAAAGAAATAAATTGGCATAGCTGTCAACATTGGGTTTTCAAAAAAAGGAAGATATTAAAAGCTGAAAATTTCAATGTATTTTTTCTCCTCAACACAGTTACATTCAAAGATTCTAAGACAATTAAGAGCACTTAGGGACATAAATTGTAATTATTTTTCAAAGTTTGATATGTGCATGATCGAGCACGTGCCGAAAAGATGCAAGAATTTGATTCCTGCTCTAAAAAATGCGTTCGGGTACAAATTCAGATCGTGGCTCTGTTGTAAAAAATGGGAAAGTTCTTTTTTTTAAATCGAGGAAAATTGGAAGATTAAAATAAAAACCGGAAGGTGGAAGTTTCGATAAAAAACCGGAAATCTTCCGGCTAAACCGGAAGAGTTGGAAGCTATGGATTGGTATACTCAATTTGGAATAAATGAATGTAAAACAATTAAGAGAGTAAAAGAACAAATTTCATGAAACGGTAAATATTTTTAGATGGAGTTATTAGGCAGGATAAAGCTGCATAAAGAAATGCTTAGGGAATAATGTTACCATTTTCCTCCCCTCTAAGAATCTTTTCAAGTTCAACACCCCTCTGCTCAAGTTCTTTTTGTTTAATTTCTAGTTCTTCCAACCTGCGCTGTATCTCTTGAGCATTGCGCAATCGCTTTAGTACTTGCTGCCTTTGAACTTTTTGTACGATTCGCTGAGCTTTCTTTTCTTTTTCATTCAGTCTCTGAAAAATATATATATTTTAATAAGAAAATATAAACCGAATGTTTAATAAAAAAAAGATAATTTATACATAGGTGAATTATAAATATATACCAGGGGTTTGTCAAGGTTAAATTTACTACCGTTTAGCAGTACCTTCACAAATTCAACTTTAGGAAAAACAGTAGTTTCCCGATATACTTTTTCTTAAAAATTTATTTTTGTATCCCACAAGAAACGATAAATCTATATTTTTACCATATTTTTGTGTTGATTTTTTAATGCACATTGATTTTTCAGACTGAGTTGATTTGTTAATGACTGTGTTGTGTTGATTTTTTGCGTTAATTAACACTTTTGTGTTGATTTTTTAATTTTCACAAATTATGGCTAAATTTGCAGCATGATCTGTACACAGTTAAAAGAAAAACCACTGATAAAAAAAATACTAAAAATAAATAAATTTCATAAATTAAAAACCTTTTAAATATATTTTGGTAAAACATTTTATAATAAGGAAACATTTTATTTAATTAATATCAGAAAAAACTAAATAAAGTTTTCTCACTTTTACGGCCCATATTTAGTTTAAAAACAAATTTCATACACTGTCATCTCTTTAAATAAATTCAAGGTCATCAGTTAATATAAATAGTTGCTGGAGGGTGGAAATTTAGCCTGCTCATTTGAAAGCAAAGAAATATGAAAATAAAATAGTACAGCAAAAATAATTTTTATGTAAATCAATAAACTTCATATCAACTCAGTAAATTAAGATATAACTTGCTTTATTTATGTGTAATTGTATTTGTTTAAATCATTCTCAATTAAATTGTATATAATTATTTTTGTTACACTATTTTTAGTGTCAAATAGTGTAACAAAAATTAATTCAAAATGGATAATATTAGATGATTGATTATGATGAAAATTCACTTTTGGAATTTACTTTGGTTAATAGACGCAGTGAATAGTCTTAGTTAAGTAGTAAGTATGGATATTTGAGAATTAGAAACATTTAATCGGTATGATTTTTTTAAAGGAAAGATTTTGTATTAAAAAGTTAACATAGCTAAAAAAATTACTAATTAAAGAACTAATAGTACTAAATAGTAAAGCTAATAAAAGTACTAATTAAAAGGTGAATCCGCAATGCCAAGAAATCACATACAAATTCTGAGTCTTTTTCAAGGTAAAGTGATAAAAATATCAAACAATGGAAAAAAACACTGACTTTAAGATATTTTTTGAATTTTACTACTGATAAGTAATTTAAAATAGATTTTGTTCAGCTTCTAGCATTTAAAATGTAAAAAAGAAGAAAATATAAACATAATTAAAAGCTTTTAATTTTGTAAAAAATAATTTTTTTAAATACTTAAAAAGCTTTAAGTTAAAAACTATTGTAATTACCATAAGCTATTAGATATGAAAACTATTTACGAAAGTTTAGAATTTCCTAAGGATACTTACTGAATCGTTTTTATCACTATTTGGAATGTGACCAACTTTGCTACCCTGAGTATCTTCTTCTTCACTAAAACTGTCTTCTACAGAAAAATGAACAAATATGAGCAATGAAATTAAAACAAGTCGCAAGAAAATAAAACTAAAGAAAATTTAACATTTCATTTAAAAACATTAAAAAAAATTATGTTATTTAAGTTTATGATATATTATTTGAACACATAAAAACATTGAATATTAAAGAGTTCATTTCAGAATATTCATTCATTCATTTTGACACAAAATAAATACCAATCGAAAATGATATTTAGAGCAGAAATCATACTAAAGAAATAATTGGCTTTTATACAACTACTAACTGACATAAACATATAGCTTTTGTATTTTTTTTTCCACAAAAAAAGTTGTCGACCTACTTTTGAAATTGAAAATGCACAGAAATTACTAATGATTGGCGAATTTCTTCAAAACATACTCATTTTGTGTCCTACAAATGCTCAGTCGATTACATAAATTAGTTTGAAGAGAAATTATGGTTCTGCTAATTTTACTTTATTATGGAATAGTTCTTATTAATAATGAAAATCATCGAATAAAAAAGTATAATTTTTTTTAACAATAAATTTTATTAATACATTAAAACTATTTTCAATGAAATAAATTAAATATTGAGTGTTCTTTGTGAAAAGAACAAATGTTTCTTACAATTAATTCATTTTCAAAGGACAATTACATTTCAGTATATTAAATTTAATATTAGCATGACCTCCATGTCTTTTATTAAATGAAGCTGGTTTTCGAGATCATAGAACTAAAAAAAACATAACTGAACTTAAATTAACATAAGTTGTACAGGGTTGAAATAAAAATATGATCCTTTTATGGGTAGAGAAAAAAAATATAGAATATAAAATTAAAGCATGGAAAAGATGGTATAAAAACAAAATAAGCAATAAATCATAAACAAAACTGCAAGTCGCATTTAAAAAGCTTGATCCCTGACAATCATACGACAGCGCTCTTTATTGCAATTACATATTTTATAAAAAATACAATACTTTTTAATTGCTAGCTCAGTTCTTAAATAATTATTGACCATTGATTTCTAAGTTTGTTTCTGTCAATTTTTAAATGTATACATGTTTCTGCTTTTTCATTTTCTGAAAATAAACTGTTAAAAAGGAATCACGTTTTAACATACATATTAACTATTTTATAATAACTATTTGTAAAACCATTCTTTCAAATGCATGTAAAAGGAGAGAAACAATTACGATTCTATTATAAATATGGAACTTAGGTATCAAGCAATATGTGTTTTCTTCAAAGGCTTAAAAAATAATAACCACCTTACATGCATGATTATTCCAATTTTATATTATTTTATAACCAACGTTGAACATCCGACCCAATTTTTGAGTTCACGACTACAAATTATTAATTCCGTAACCTTGTAATTTTGAACTCAATCCAGAAGACAAGGGAACCCCTGGATCAAGTAATGGGAGAAATTTGCCTTTGTGGAGGACTTTTTTGATGGAGCTAACCAACATTTGCGTTATATTGAAAGAAAAACCACAAAAACCACCCATGGTTAGCCTGAGGACGAGGGGACTCTAACACACAATTCAGTTACTACCTAAGATATTTTACGTTAGCACTGTGGTCTGTTTCCAACAGCAATCACCTGGATTTGAACTCGGGGCACTTAATTGGGAGGCGAGTGATCTATCCCTAGAGCCACCATGGCTCATTCCAATGTTAATACCATTGTTTTGATCTTTTAAGTATTAAATCAGAAGAGCTAAGTGGAAGTTAGATCGTGAACCTTATTTCTGCTTGCACTTTTGAGACCCCCACATCGTGACTATATAAAAAATCCATAAATTAACAAGAGGAAGTTTGTCCTATGCATTTTTTTCTCAGATGATTTAAAGAATTTCAGAATGTAGAAGATGATTTGCATTAGGATCAAGAACATGCCATAAATGGCTGAAGGTCTCAAAACCACTAACTGGAAAAAGGTTTCTTTTTGGTAATTTGTGAGGTTTGTTTACAATGGAAAAACTAATTTAAAAGCTCTGAAAGTCCTATTTCTTTTTCGTACTTACAGTTAATTATAAAACAATTGTTACCGACGTCTGATTTAACTTGGTTTTCCACTAAGCTCTTTGGAATTGCAGATAAGGCAAATCACATTTTANAATTCCGTAGCCTTGTAATTTTGAACTCAATCCAGAAGACAAGGGAACCCCTGGATCAAGTAATGGGAGAAACTTGCCTTTTTGGAGGACTGTTTTGATCGAACTAACCCACATTTGCGCTATATAGAAAGGAAAACCACAAAAACCTCCCATGGCTAGCCTGATGGCAAGGGGACTAACCCACGATTCAGCACTGTGGTCTGTTTTCAACAGCAATCACCTGGATTTGAACTCGAGGTACGTAATTGGGAGGCGGGTGATCTATCCCCGGAGCCACCATGGCTCACTCCAATGTTATTACCATTGTTTTGATCTTTTAAGTATTAAATCAGAAGAAGAGCTAAGTGGAAGTTAGATCGTGAACCTTATTTCTGCTTCCACTTTTGAGACCCCCACATCGTGACTATATAAAAATCCATAAATCAACAAGAGGAAGTTTGTCCTATGCATTTTTTTCTCAGGTGATTTAAAGAATTTCAGAATGTAGAAGATGATTTGCATTAGGATCAAGAACATGCCACAAATGGCTGAAGGTCTCAAAACCACTAACTGGAAAAAGGTTTCTATTTGATAATTTGTGAAGCTTTTTTACAATGGAAAATCTACTTTAAAAGGTCTGAAAGTCCTGTTTATAATTCGTACTTACAGTTAATTATAAAACAATTGTTACCGATGGCAGGGGTCTGTCCAGGCCATATTTACTACCGTTTAGCGGTACCTTCACAAATTTAACTTTACGAAAAACAGTAGTTTCACAAAATACTTTTTCTTAAAATTTTATTTTTGTATCTCGTAAGAAACGATAAACCCATATTTTTGTGTAGACTTATTATAATTTTTAATTTTTCACAAATTATGTCCAAATTTTCACAAAATAGGTACCTCTCAGAAAAACCTAGACAGACTCCTGCTTGGTTTTCCACTAAGCTCTTTGGAATTGCAGATAAGGCAAATCACATTTTAAGGAGGAAAATAAAAATTCAAAATCAAAGAGAGAATGGCATACACATACACATTACAAGAGGCACAAAAATTGTTAAGGGAACAAACAGGGTGTGGAAATTTAAAATATTAACATACAATCAGCATGCAACAAGTGCAACTATTTCACAAAAGTACAAGTGTCTTTAAATAGCAAGCAAATTATGAAGCATGCTTAGTAGTTAATGAAGCACAGACAGGCAACAAAAGAATAAAAAAATAATAGATACTAAACATGGGATAAAATAAACAACGGATAGCTTTATCATCAAGGTAAAAAGCTTGGGCTCTTCAAGTTGATGAAACTTACCAGAAGCTTTGGGAGCGAGTCCATTTTCCAATTTTGGAATAGGCAAATGAACAGGAAATGAAGAAATGTTTGTCTCTAGATTTCTGTACACAGTATATTTAGGAATGATTATGGCTTGCTGAGTAGAATGAGGAACATTAAAAATATCTTCTTGAGGAGGAGAAGTTTCTACAGGTGTAACGCTTTCTGGTGGCACTGATTTGGCCTTAGGCTTATTACCTTTTTCTTTAGCCTTGGCTAGCTTTAGGTGAGAGAATGGCTTTGACTTGTTGGCAGTTCCAATATCATTTGGAAGAGAAGTGGATAAATCTTTCTCAGAGCTTTTAGCTTTCTGCTTGACTTTTTCTTTAGATACATTACTTTTGCTGAAATTCAAAATAGAAAAAATAGATTTTTTTCCATTGCTTTTGGTTTTGTCATCCTCATTTAACCCTTCTGTGAGAGATCGCTTGCTTTTAGTTTTAGCTTGCATTTTGGGAATAATGGGGGATTCGCAAATATTACTATCTGGACTAGTTTCAGACAAACTAGCAATACTGGAATGTTTTGTATGACCAACTTTGGCAGGCTGAATTTGCTCTTGGCTATTTTTAGAATCAAGGGAATCTGTTGAAACAGAATACTCATCGCCAGTGGATAATGAGCGATTTGTTGTTTTACATTGATTATTTGGCTGACTAGATACAATGGGAGCATCTGTACTTTTCCCTTTCATGAAGAGATTTGAGTTTTTAAACATGCTAAAAGTTTCTTCTAATGTATTGTTGTTCGTTTGACAAAAATTGTTTATCATCTCATCTTCGAGATCGTCATCTTGATCACAAAACTCATCACTGCAAAGCTCATCATAGTTTATAGAATTTAAAGAAAGTTGGCGACGATACTTTTTTCTGTAATTATTTGGACTGAGTCCAAGTTCTTCATCGCTTTTTAGACGGGCACGTGCTCTAGCTTCTTGTCGAGCTCTTTCTTGTTCAGCAGTACTCTGCATTCTTAAATATCTATCTTCATCAACAAGATCTGGGGTTTTGTACGCTGAAGCCGTCGTTGAATCTGACGAAAAGTCATCACTTTTAGAATCCATTTTAGGAGTTGAAAAACCTTCCATAGAAGTAACCGGTTCGACAGGAGACATCATTTTCTCCTCATCAGCAAAGGGTAAACCTTGCAAATCTTCATGAACACTTTTCCGTTTTTCCCGTTTCTGTCTCAATTTAGAAATATCCATATCACATTTTGGTTTAATTTTTGTTGGGAAGTTCATGGGCTCTGAAGATTCAACCAGGGAACATGTATAAGGAGAAACAATATCTCCACGAGATTCAGAAGAGAATGATACAGAGGGATGCTTATGGTGGCCAGATTTTGGTTTACTGCTAGAATTTAGCTTTCCAGTACTACCAACAGACATATTGCTTTTCAAATTACTGGTAGGAGGATTACTTGTTGCGATTTGGTCAGGAAGAAAAACATCATTGTCCTTATCAACTTCATCAGACTTTAAATCATCAAAACTTTTCTGTTTCACACAGTTTTCATTTGAAATTTTATCATTTTCATCTAAACTATCATCACTTTTATTTAGTGATGAAAATGGTTGCTTTTGAAGATTAATATCTAAAGAACGAAGATAAATGGAATCACAAAATAAACTTTTTGGTCTAATTTTTTCAGCAAATCCTCCACCATAACCTTTATATTTAATATTAGGACTTGGTGAAGTGGATTTCGGACTATCTAATAATGGATTCGGACAAGAGGACACCATACGGTTTTCTATTAGATCTTTAGTCCTATTGATCAGCTCAAAGCTGCTTGATTTAGATTCAGAATCTGGACAGTTTTGTGCATCAGGAAGAATAGTTGATGCTTTTGGCACTGTTTCCTTAAGCTTAGCTGATGAGCATGATATTGATTTTGGTAAAGTATCATTAAATTTGAAAAAATCTGAGCTGCTGGGCAAACTTTGTGATAAGCATGTTTCAATATTTTTAGATTGCTTAGGTAGTTCTTCATCAATAGTATAATCGAGAGCAACTGGCGAATCAGAAATCAGTACAGTATTGTTTTGATTGAATTTGCTTTCAGTGTTTTCATCCACATCTGACAGACTTTGTTTCAAATTTGAATGTAATTCATTAGATTCAGAATCATTTAGAACTAAACAACTTTCCTCTTCTTCATAACACGCAGGAAATGAGATACTTTTATCACTATCCCAGTCATATGTACTATTTCCTTTAGATTGATTATGTTTTCTAATTGTTATAAAAGATTTCTGTTTTGTATGATCATCTGAATCATCCAGGAATTCATTCAAAACTGATTCTTCACTGTTGACATCAGCACTGCTATTTGCAATTTCTAAAACCTCTGGCACAGCCTCAACAGAATTACAAATTACACTTAAGTCTTTGCAATCTTCAAAGCAGTCGCGGACTTCATTTCGATTAGCTTCAGCACATTTTGGAGATGGTGTGCATAAATCAATTATTTCTATTTTATTGGAAAGTTTATCAGCAGAATTCTCAACAGGTGGAAATGTAGAATCATGCAAGCCTGTTTTATTTACTTTAGTAAATGGAGTAGATGTAAGTACTTTGCTATGAATTTCATCAGCTAAATTCTCACAACTTGTATGCTTTTCTACAAAGTCGTCGCTGGGATCTAAAATGGATTCTTGAGCTGATTTCAATATATCAGCAACAATATCTTTTGCAACCGAATTTACATCTGATGCAACACTAATATCAGGGGAGCTCTCTTCAGTAGCAAGAGGAGCTGCAAGTTTAGGTAATGTGTCCATACATTCAGGTTTAGATGAAACAGTTTCAGATTTAGAAAAATTATTATCTACTTTCTTGTCACTAAGCTCTACAAACTTACCATCAACATTCAGGATTTCAGCATTTGTATCCACTTCAACCGGACTGTTTACAGATGAAGCAAAGCAACTGGGACTATCTTCTTTTATATCAGCTGTAGAAATATCAGATACAATAACTACTGAATCATCAATATCAGCGGTGGTTTTACTGTCAACATTGTTGGCCTTATTTGCATCGTTATTTACATTCCATTCTTGATCCAAATCAGTATTTTGAGGAGGTGATTCATATATTACTATAGTAGGTATCTGTTGTGGAGGTAGAGGAGCAGAATCAGACTCTGAGTCAGAATCTATTTCAGTACCAGATTCATCTCCAGAGCCTTCTTCAGTGTCACTTTCATTTTGTGATAGATCAGATTCTGATGTTTCATCTAAAATGATAAAAAAAAGTTTTTAAAGTTTTCTAATTAAATTAATAACAATAATGGGAAATCTGAAAAACATAAATTTGAAAACATAAGACATTTTGTTTACATTAAAACAGCCATACAAACCAACCTAGTTTAATTAAAAAAAATTTAACAAACACACTTTTACTGCAATCTCATTGAATCACGATTTTTCTAATCTCAAAATAACTTATGCATAAATGTAACACATGCACTTAAAAAAATAAAATAAAAAATAGGGGTTGTAATGTTTTAAAAAATTTATCAACTAATTGAAATTTAACCTTTTCTTCCTGAAATTTTTCTTTGAAGTTTAAAATATTGCTGATTTAATTTTCACTTATAAGTTTCACCAGCAGTAAATATTAACTACTAGTTTTACTACAAAAATTTATATTTACATAATAAAATTACAACTGATTTGTTAAGATTATTATAGCTTTTAGTAATTTTCCTTAACATCATTACCTGCCGAAACTTTATTAATGGACTTCAAATCAATTACAGGAACTTCCATTGAAAATTCTTTTTCTTCCGGAGTTTTACTTAGTTCAACCTCTTCATTTTCTTTTGTTTCTTGATTATCTTCTATAAATAAAAATTTCAATTTAGTAATGAGGAAGCAAAAACTATCATTTATGACAAAAGGACAAACAAAAATAACCGAAAAATATCATACTGGTATACATTCTAAATGAAATATTTTGCTGAAATTTCATTACAATATGAAAAGTTATTCTCAATGAATATAGGGGGAAAAAAAGCCTCCAATTTTGTGATGCTTGAATGCATTTTTGCAAAAGCGTTAAAAAAAAAAAAAGAAGACAAATTAAGTGTAAATAGAAAGCAATATTTGTAAAAGAATAAAATAATTTTAAGATAACCAGCACGTGAATAATGATCATATTTAAAAAATAAAAATAAGGGTTGGTGCCACCTTACGCACAACAAAACCCAAATATTTTTTTAAAATTAAGGTCTTCTTAATATTATTGATTAAAGCTTGAGCTTCAACAATATTCAGACCCTGAAAATTATATATTGAGTATTACTGGAAAATACTCTTCATTTTTAACTTGAATAATTTTAATGCATTTAAAGCCCCTGAAATGTTGTATAGCCAGAAAATCATCCAATACCTTTATAAATTCTCTAAAAAAATCTGAAAAAAATTTAATACTAGAATTGAAAGTAACAAAATGCAGTAATAATGTTGATAAGAAAAATCATAATATATACCTTCTTCACTATTTTCTGTACTATATTCTGCATCGCTATCAATGTCCTGACTAGTATCATCACTACCGATTTCAGTATCTGATTCTTCGTCATCAGCAGATGATGACGATGAAGAAAAATTGCACAAAAGAGAGTGCTCAGTAGAATACTTTTTATTCCATGTTTCAGCCAATTTTCTAGTTTCATCAGCAGTTAATGATCTCTCCAATTCTTCTGCAAATGCTTCTTCATCTGTTTCAGAATCAGTGCTACAAAAAATTTCAAGAACAAGAGAAATCATTAGAATAAACTGCAAAAATAAGCAAACAGAAACACTGGAAGTTAGAAACATTGTTAAAAATTAACCACATTTGCTTCCTCACCTACACCCGAAACTCATGTATTTCTAATCTTTGTTCAGTTATTAGTTGAATATTTACACCAGTTTAACTCATAACTAGAAGTAAATTTTTTTAAGCACTGCATTGAAACTGTTTTTAATAATGCAATAAGAAGTTAGAAAGAATAAGGATTCTTAGTGTACACTTAAAAAATTGAAAAAACAGAAACCCACTCTTTTTGCTTTACACAAGTCCAATGTATTAATATGAGATTTTCAAAATTATGAAAACTGGTAAATGAAATTAAAAAAAGTATGCATCTAAATTTTTTTTTTTCAAACTGCTAAAAATTTAATTATTTAAATTTTGATAATTTTAAATGCCTGTAAATATATTTATAATAAAATTTTAAAAAAAATTCTTAAAACCTTGTGAAAACTTAAATTCAAATTATATCCTTCACTATCGAAACTATATCACCAGTGCTAAAGTTACTAAATATATCTTAATTCTTGTCTTAGCTTGCATACTTCATTTTATTTGTAGAAGAAGCCCCTCCTTCCTATTCAAGCATATCATAGTTACTATTTTTATAAATCAATTTTCCCACCAAAATCACATTTTTCTTTCCGAGGCTGACAACTACTTACATGGAAATCTAGATAAAAAGAGACAAACAGTGCCATTATTTCTTATTAAAGCAGTATTATGAACTTTTTCTTTACAACAATGTAACATTATTTTACCAAAATGCATTGAGTAAATGGCTCAGAAAATCAAAACTGAGTAAATTTTAATTTCGTGTTTGCAACATTTCTGAATACCTACAATATATCTTCCATTCAGTATGATGATAAATATTGACATTATTTTACTCTTTTTTTATTAACCGTTTATTTAGATGGAAAAACAAAAACTAAATATACGTTCAGTACAAATAAAAATATTAAACATTATTTATAGATTGTATTGAGAATGAATGAAAAATGTATCATGGGAAAATGTATAAAAATTCAAGAAAATGATAACTGAAATTGACATTCAAGAAATATTCACATTCAATATATATATATATATATATATATGTATGTATAAAATGGAACATTAGACTAAATAAAAACCTTCAAATTTTAATAAACAAATTAAATACCTCAAGTCTGAATAGTCATCTTCACTGGTAGCCAAATCTTGCGATGGACCGAAATTCTTTTGAGTAAGTTCTTCTTCCTCCAACTCACTAGTTAAAAGATCATCTTCAGAGAATTCTAATATGCTGTTTTCATACTCCACTCTTTCTGGGGTTTGGTCACGTCCAATGGCATTCTCGGGTTCTTCTAAGAAACTCATAGCTGGTTTAAGTTTTTCTTCTACTACCTCTGGAGATGCTGAAGGCGCATCTTTGTTGTCGACAGACTGGCGACCAGGTGACAGCGCTTTTTCAGTATTGTCGAGCAAGATTTGGTAAAGCTTTTCTTTCTCCTGCTTCTCTATCGCACAAGAGAGAAACGCTTCTTTTCTCTTCATCATTTCTTGTCTTCTAACATCCTGTTTTTGCATTCGGAAATGGGGTATGCAATAGAATTTCCCTATACAAAGATAGATGTGCAAAAACAATTAACACCAGTAAGTTGATAATATTTCTTTTTTTAAAAAAAGAGAGAGAGAGAGCAATGTAACAAACCTCCACATAAGGCATCACTATCATAAGCATATTCTCCAAGCCTTAAAGCAGCCCCACAAAACTCACATTTGAAACATGTACGATGGAAGAATAATCCTTCGGCACTTAAACGCTGCATTAAATATACACGCTCTTTGCAAAAATAACAGACAGCGCTTGCAGAAGTACCTCTTGGAGTGTCTGGTTCAACGTTCTACAAAATGAAAGAAGCATTAAATTATACATAACTATACAATGCTTTAAAAAAAAAACTTAAATTATTTGCTTATGCTAATAATAACCTACAGGATTACTTATACTTGTTGAAAAACAAGCATGACAATAGCATTTGTATTTAGATTCGAAGAATGATGAAAAAAAATTATAATACATTTAATATCGTTTTTTTTTTTTTTTTAAAACAAATAACACAAAAAGGGCTTTAAAAATATTATTAATAATGTAGACATGAGATGGTCGTTAGACTCAATCCACCAAATTATGGAATAATTTCTTGCTCATGAAGTCGGATTGATAATGTTTGAGTTTTAAAATAGAAAGGAATTTCCTGTCCGTTCCATTACTGTCCATCAGCAATTAGTACAATACATAGTCAATTAAAATCAGTACAGTATTGACACTAAAAAGAATAAAGTATGTCCTTATTGAAGAATGATACAAAACCAAAAGAAAAAGAACAGTGGATTCTTGAAAATGCTGATGCAGTGGCCTAAATGAAACTTCCCTTATTGGATGAACAGAGTTTGAAATTTGCTAACGAGGACAAAACTATAAGAGAAAAAATGAAACATTTACAGGAAAAGTCGAGGATCGAAAAATCGACGGCAAATAAAAAACATAGAAATGTGTGACTCAGAAAAACGTAAGTGACTACATAGCAAGAGCTTGTACACTATCAACAAAATGTGCCAGTCTAGGACCAGAAATTTTGGAGAGTTACTATACAGTTCAAGGAGTAAGAGGAAAATTTACAAAAATTGGAGAAACCCTAAAAATACAGAAAGAAGAGCAGCTAGACAACATTCTCGAAACATTCAAAGAGGAAGAAAACATATTAAAACAAAAATCAGATAATTTCACCTGAAATATAGAAGCATTCCGAATAAAAACTAGAAATAAAAAGAATATGCCCAATTTTTGTTATATCTAGAAGAAACCAAATCACATTGTAATGGACTCAGAGAAGCATCTTCACATGACAAAATTGTTAAGTTAAAAAAACAAAAATGAATTAGTCCACTTGGCAGGTAAGAACTTAACTTTAAAAGTCTGTAGGTATAGGAACTGTAAAACTTTTGTTAATGAATGCAAAAATATTATTACTATTGGTAATATTTTATTTGTTCCAACTTTAAGAAATAATTTAATTTCTGTATCTAAGTCAATTGAAAAAGGTTATAAATAGAATCGGTTGCCAACAACAATATTTTGATTTTAAGTAATAATAATGATATTGTTTTCAAAGCTATAAATGTAAATGATTGTTTAGAAATTTAGACTGAACCTTTTAATGATATAATTTCTGCAGATTCTATTGAATTCAATTTAGTAAAAAGTTTTGATGTTTATGATATTTGGCACAAAACACTATGTCATTTAAATCAACAATATATGTCTCAAATACAAAATATTATTGGCATTGATGTCAAACATTTTGAAATTTCTAACTGTGAATTATGTGATAGTTGTAAAAAATATTCAAAATAAAGGTTGATCAAAATAATTCTATTTTAGAATTGGGTCACGCTGATTTAGCACGGTCAATTAATTGTAATTCTTTATGTAATTCAAAATATTTTTTAGTATTTGTTGATGACTATTCTAGAATGTTTTTTTCTTATTCCTTGAAGCATAAATATGAAGTATTTGATGCACTAATTTTAAAGAAAGGTGTGAAAATTTAATGAATAAGTAAATAAAACATTTCAGAACAGATAATAGATTAGAATTTGTGGATAATGATTTGGATCAATTTTTAGAAAAAACTGTACTAAATGTTACTTTATCCTTGGTGCTCTTGTAGTCAAATTTATTACAATATTTTATTAAATCCTTTGAAAATAAAACTTACTCTTACTTAAAAACTTATTTATTAAGATAAATATGACAAAAAAATAAATTAAGCTAATTAGATGCCAATAATACATACTAAATAAAATAATGAATAAGCTGAAACAGATTGCAAAAACTTAAATTTTTACACTTTAAGAACTGGTGTTATAATTCTTTTACCTCTGTTCCATGTTATTTATTTCTATCTCTATTCCATTTAGTGCTTTGGAAGCACTGAATTTCAATTTTAAATGTGACGATTCATGTTGCCATTATATTTACATCGATTTTCAAATTAAATTTAAGAATGTTTGATTCTATAACCTTGAACTTTATTTTTGTTAATATTATGCTAACAAAATCCTTTTACTACATTATTACTTCGTTTAAAAATGGATAAAAAAAAATTCCTTCTTAAGAATATTAAGTTTTAAACTATTTTTCAATAAATATAAGTACCCCTTTCGAAACAGGTGCAGGCGGTAACGGATCTTTTCTCCCACCAGACTTCTTGTTCCAAATTGTCGTCATGTGTTCAGTCATTGCTGCTGTTTGATTGTGGCCTCGCTCTCCTCTATTTAAATTTCCTTTAGATAACCTATCTTTTAATCGGTTTAAGGAGGCATCAAATTTTTTATATCTGGCTTCTTCTTCTGGTGTAAGAGTTCCACCAGCTTTTAACTTTTCATCCATTTGGTGTAACTAAAAAAAACCATATCAAAATTCATTAAAATTTCAATATAACTAAAAAATTTAAAGAAAAGCAAGCATAAATGGAACTAAAAGAAAGCCTTGTTTAAAAATTAGCAGAAATTTAGCTAATAGCCCATAAAAAATGAATACAAAGAAGCTTATCCACTGCTTTAACCCTTTTGCACCGGACGGGACATGTGCTGTCCCAGTCAGGAAAAATTTTGATATTACGGCTGGGACAACATATGTCCCAGATACTGAAAAACATCTAGGACAGAAAATAATGCCACATTGGGTCTCCAAACTAATTCGAAGGCAGTCTCAATTGTTCTGAGTCCATAAGTTTCTCATCTTAATCGTACCCAATCTAATCGAGCGAACGACAACTCTCAATGTTGCTCAGTTGATAATTCTAATTTTTTACACCAATTCATTCATTTCTTTCTAACACTTGCCCCTTGCATTTTTACACGAAATTTTTCAGATATTTCTCCCATTTTCTCTCCCTCTTCTGATGAAGGGTCGAAATTAGTCGAAAGAGAATTTATCTTGACAACAAATTGAGACAGCTCGCTTATATTAGTGACTCTTCTGAAACTGAAAACTCTTGAGTCCTCACTAGAGATTAGAGGAAAACAGCGAGAGCTAAGTCTACATTAGAGGTTTATAAATAAATATGTTAAAGCAAATGTACATGAAAATGTTAACAAAAAAAAGTTGTCTAAAATATACATCAAAATGTTAAGTAAAATGTCAATAAAAACGAGATATTGACTCTAGAATTCCGGTCGGGATTTCCGTATTCTAAAATTCGGATTCGGGGGACAGAATTCTAGAATATCCTGTCCCAGCTTTCAGATGCTTTGAGTTTACGGTGGGACATATGCAGTCCCATCAATGAAGCTTGTGAAATCATTGTTGTTGATGGTGCCCTGTTATGGGGACGTTTATGCGTCTCCAAGACCTTAAGGAATAAAAGCTATTTTATTTAATAATCGCTTGGAAGAGAAATAACTGATCCCGGTAATTGGGTGCACTCGGACTGATTTTTCGCCATATTAAAAGGGTTAAACCAATCATGAAGCTGAAATAAACTTTAATCACAAGAGATTTTTACACACTATCACATGAAAATAAAACACCAAATCCAACTATGATACTATTTTAACTAGTAGATAGCGAGGAGATGAAAAAAAAGGTATGCATTTAAGTGTAAACAAATCTTTAATTACTAACCTTATTAGTAAATATTTCTTTGAATACAGCAGGCTTGTCTGGATGTGAAGTTTTATGCCGGGTGTTTTGTTGTTTAATCTTTTCATCAACAACTTTCATAATCCATTCATCTTTTTGCAATTTCCCAACCTTTGGAGATCTAGACTTTTTAGTAGTTACTGCATTACCATTATTTTGGAGTTGCTGTTGCAGCATTTTTACACTTAACTCAGACTGTTCAGATCGCAGATGTAATCCTTTTGCACTTTCTAACTCAGCCATGTCGCAACGTAAACCAGCATCTCTCTTCATTTTCTCTTCTAAATTTTTTGCCCGGGTATTGATGGACTCTCTAGGTTTACCAGTAGAAAGCATTTTGTAGTCAGTAAGAATTATATCCTGGTTTGCTTTGTCCTACAATTAAAGAAATGGGCTTTTAATGATTCACATGACAAATATAAAGCAAGATCAAAGTTTGATATCTAGAAATACTTACAAGCGAAGCCCTTTCTTTGGATTTTCTTTTATGAGCGAAGAGTGATGAGCTCTTTTTTCGTATATTTTCTCCTTTATCTCTCTCTTTGGCCATTTCTTTTTCAACAGAATACTACATGGGGGTTAAAATGGAAGAAATAATACTTCAGAACTATATTTTATCCGAATCAAGGTGAAAAAATATATAATGATATAGTAATATAAAACTACATTAATCAATAATTAATATTTACTAATTTTTGACTATTAACAGAGTTCAGTGTAATATCCAGTTGCTTTTCTGCTTGGGAAACATTTTTCCCAAATTACTCAATAGGGATATTTCAGTAAAAATTTATTTAAATAGCACAGCAGTTGAAAAATTATCAGTATTTTTGGTATATATCCAAGATTAGTTTGATAATTAAAGGTATTTTTTAGAATGAGAAACGGTACTTATCCGAAAATATATAAAAATTCTATAGAATTGGATTGAGCGCAAAATTCAATAGAACGAGAGCAATAATAGGTTAACCTCTACCAGCACAAGAGAAAATAAATTCTACTGATTTCTCTGAGGCAAAGTGAGAAAAAAAAACTAGATTGCCTTGGAGTCATAGAAGTAATGTTTATATGAAGGTATATGCTGCAAAGGGAAAAATTTTGTAATTATTTGGCAGATTTTTGCTATTTGACGAATTAATAAACTTATTATACAAAAAAAAAAACTACATTTGCTAAGATTTTTTCTAAAATCAATCAAGATAAAACAAGAAAATTAATTGATAGTACGTTAATAGAATTATGCAGGGAAACATTGCTGTTAATGATAAATTTTAGAGAACATGTTTCATAATTTATTTTATAGATTCATAAAAATGCATAAGAAATTAACAGGATGTATTTGTTCATTTTTTTTTATCTTCTTCACTTTGAAAGTTAAGATTTAAGTATTTTGTGCAGTCTGTTTAATCGAGGGTTAAAATAGTTAATCGAAAATTAAGACTTTTTACCTTTGAATCAAAATTTCAATTATAATGCTCATAAAAATTGTATGCTAAAAAATAATTCTAACATCACAGAACAAATTTTTATAAAGTTTAACTTAAAATAGTTTTATCTGTGCGACATCACAACACATTTGCATTTGAAAATTAATAGCAAGTAAAAAATTCCTACTCTTCTTTTTTAAATTTAAATAAAAGTGCAGACATTTCAAATTTCTGCGTTAATATCAAAATTTCCCCCAAGTTTTTGAAGGTTCCAAGTTGTCTCTTCATAAACTTGAGTTTTCCTGAGGCATATGAGCCTTAAAGCATAATACTGAAAACTGTTTTTAAGGAATATAATTTACTTACTTTTCTTTTTCCTTGAAGTCTATTGCTTACTTTATTTAGAATTGTCAACGGAGTAGAATGAATTTGTTTACTAGGGCTACTAGTTCGTTCTTCGTTTAGATTAGACTTTGGTAGAGAAACTGCAAAGGAAAATTTTTTGTAAAAAAAGTTTTCATCCAAAATTTTAGATGGTATACTCAAAAAGTATGCATTGAAACAATAATGCAACAAGCAAAAATTTCTTACCAACAGGAATTTCCCCACGAAAACTTTCATAAACTTGCGATATATAAGATACCATTGTCAATTTATCAGGAACAGAACATTCAGCCATTTCTTGTCCAGTCATTACTGGTGGAATTCCGAGTTCTCGTTCACAAACATCAAATGCCTAAAAATTAAAATAATAACACTAAAATAAACAAAAATCGAGAATTTAAAGAACTTTAAGTATTCATGACATATATACACACTTTAATAAATAAATACACATTATGATGATAAAATACATACCAATTGATTGTTTTTAGTTACATTTTCTGGATCTAAGTCAGAGAGATTTATAAGATCAGGCCTGTAGTGATGAAGAACGGCACATAGTGCTAAGCCATCTTTCCAAGAGGTTGTAAAATTTTCTATTCTTATTTTATCATTAAGTGCTACCTGTTTCTTACACCAATTCAAAAGTGTATCTGGGTGAATCATTGATTCTGAAAAACAACAAAAACATTTCTAACATTAAATCACACAGCTAAAGAGCAGTATTTTCTTTTTAAATTGGAAATAACAAATGAAAACATTGAAAGTAATGAAGGAATTCTATGTACGGCAACATACTTTAAATTATATAATGTACCAAAAGAAAGACAGCACACCATGTGCTTTCAGACTAAATTTCAATTATATGTTAAAAAGCAAAAATATTTTTAGTTTCTTAGGTGTTTTAAAATTAAACATAACATTTGCCTTAAATCACCCCAAAATTGCCAATATTTCTTGATTTCTTTTAAGGAACATTTAGAAAGTAATTTTTAAGCGGTNATACATTTCCAACATTAAATCACACAGCTAAAGAACAGCATTTTCTTTTTAAATTGGAAGTAACAAATGAAAACAATATTGAAAGTAATGAAGAAATTCTATGCACAGCAACATACTTTAAATTATATAATGTACCAAAAGAAAGATAGCACACCATGTGCTTTCAGTCCAACTTTCAATTAGATATTAAAAAGCAAAAATATTTTTAGTTTCTTAGGTGTTTTAAAATTAAACATAACATTTGCCTTAAATCACCCCAAAATCTTGTTTTCTTTAAGGGACACTTAGAAAGTAATTTTTAGGTGGTTCTGCCGGTTAATGAAATATCTTACCAATTGCTACAATTGTTTGGAATATTCCATAATATTTTGGACTCATTTGCAATAAATTTTCACAGAAAAAAAAAAAGAACTTAAATTTTTTTTAAAAACACCACAATAACAAAAATAGCTAAGATAAAGAATAAAACTGGCTGCAAATGAAACCTGAAGAAAATTAAAAGAAATCCAAACAATAAATTTTTATTTGTTTTCTCATTATAAAGGTATTTTATTTTAAATCAAAACTAATATTTTTTGTAAATAATGTCCTATTTGTGCTCACTTTTAATAAATGTTTCAGTATTGTTAAAAGTCCACTTAATCTTCGTTAGGATACAGTATAGTGGAACTTAAATTTTTTTATTTTATTAGTTACTGAAATGTCATATTACCCAAAAGAAAGCCAAACCACACAGTGAAGAAGCAAGCTTTCAAGTAGGATTAAGCTAATCGTGAAAAGGGATTAGTTCGATACTATTCATCTAATACTCAAAGCTTATAATATATTATATTGTATAACTGAATTCGTAGCATAACATACAATGGTATAATAGGGATAGATTATTTTAATATAGTTGTCACATTTAGAAAATAATATATTTTAAAAAGCATAATAAATAAATGCTTTTAAAAAGCGTAAATAAAAAATAAGCACTTTTTAAAAACACTACGCAACCTGTCATATCTACGAGCAAGATATAATTCATATGTTGTTAGTCTTCATACATTTATTATTCTTTTATGAAATATATACAGTGATTTAATTTACATTTAAACTATATATTTGTTTCTAACAATACCAAGCCATTATATAAATTAATTTAATGAATTTTATAAGAATTTGAATATATTTAATAATTGGAGATTTTTCAGAATTTAATCTTGTAAACATACTTTACTACAACATATCAGCTATAAAAGAGAACAAAAGAAATGAAGTAAAAATTTTTTTAACCGATTCATGAATTTTTTTTTAATGGCTTAGAATTTTTTTGTGAAAGAAACAAAAATTTATTATTAAAAAAATGTCAAAATAAACAAAATTTAAAACCCATTCATTAGAAAAAATTAAAAACATAAGAGATGCAAACCTTTTCTTCTTTTCTTTTTAGGAACTTCAACAACACCATCTAAAATGTTTTCTTCTATCTTACCATCAGTGTCATATAAAGATCTCACTTGAGAGGGTAACACAGCATGAAGGTTTAAGTTTGGATATCTAGATGAAGGATTCAGAGTGTACTGATTGGAATCTTTACTCAAATTTTCTGGTGTGGTTTGTGCCAGCAATCGATAAATAGATTCCCTTTCAGCAAGCACTTGAAGATTCGATAACTTTCCAGAAGCCCAGCTGCGGATCATCCAGGCTGCATCGAATGAACTTAAAAAGCCACGAGCACATCCTGATCCAGTGGGCCAAAATGGCTGCAAAAATGCACAGCTTTATAAGTAAGTTAAGAAAAAAGAACATCATAGTGCATTCTCTAATAATAATATAAAATATCCCTAAGCTTTGCAGAATTTTAGACAAAATGAATAAATAAATAAAAAATAAAGTTAACACAATATAATTTTATAAAAACGAAACAATTTGTAGGTTTTAATTTTAAAATTGAAATATTTAAAATAATCTAGTTAATTTAGCAGGAAATTATTAATTTCAATGTTATTTGCAGAACAGTAGCAATTTGTGACAACAATAAAAAAGTTCAACAGGGAAAAAAATACATACTTTTTAGGAATAATTTGACAAGTTTATTGATTTGCATTAATATATTGCTTGAAGTGTTTCATGGAAATTTTGTCACACACAAGTTTTGTCTTTCCAAAGTTGTAAACTTGCTTTTTGCAAATTATATTTTCATACCTAATGTATGTAATTTAAAAAAAATATGCAAATTTTTTTAAAAAAAAATGAGAAGCCAAGACCTGTGTGTTAAATATATTCTGCCAATAACATAAATAATATTAAGAAAGGAGAGAGATAAACGAGCAAAGTGATAACAGAGGCTATCAAATTGTTTTTGGGAAAAGTTTTTAGAGGAAATGAGATATTTTTTCTAATAAAGTTTAAAACAGTTTTTCTAATATAGTTTAAGAATCAATAAAATTTAGATTTCATAAATTTTAAAATGGTATTGTACCTAAAAATTTCTTTTTTACACTTTATCATATATGATTTTTATTATATTTACTCTTTATTTGATATTTACAATAACATGTCCATCTTTGTTTTGCAAGCAAACACGTTAATTGCTGGGTTAAGTTTTAATTATGTTTTATAGCTATTTTCTTTCATAATTACTTTCGTATAATAATAAAATGTTTTTAAAGAAGAGAAGGAAAATATTTAAAGATATATATAACTTTTATAATAATGGAGAGTCAAGTGCGACACTCCATTATTGAAGGGAAAAAATTGACTTTTTATGTAATATTTGAAAATTTCTTAAATATGAATAAAATATTTTTATAGAATGAATGAAGAATTCATTCTTTAGAATACGTCTATTATTACAAATTATTATTATGAATTTCGTTACATATTATTAAGAATTTAAAAAATTAGTGAAGCTTTAAAAAAAAAAAAGTTTCTTTTTTTTTTAATTACGTCAAAAATTGGTAAAATAGTAGAAATTTTAAATAAACATTCCAGAGACAATTCTTCCCGATTATTTTGCCTTAATTTACTATAAAAAATTTGTGGTATGTAAAATAAAAAACTGTAAAAAATAATGGCACATAAAATAAAAATGAATCCACAAGTACATAAACCATAAAAGTTAGGGTTAACTTCTTTAGACACTAGCAAAATGGATTACATGAAGAATGGAGCTGCTGATATTTCAAAATAAAAATTGGTTAGAGAAATCCTACTCAATTAAATATCCATACAGTTTAAACTCTCAAAATGACAGCAATATGTTTTAATAATTAAACCTATCATCATCACTTGGAGCTATAGCTTTGAAAAGACCTTTCCCATTTTAAGACATTTGCAATACCCCTAGTAGCCATAGCAACAATATATTTATTAAGTTAAAAAAGACACTAAAATAATATAACGCTTTGAAGTCAAACTTCATGTATGTAGTAACCCATGTTTTGTTTGGCCACATGGCTGTAGATTATGTAAAAAAAGAAAAAAAGAGGTAGGAATTGAGATGAATTTTTTTTTTAAAGATTCGACTAATTTACCTCTAGGAGACTGTCTCCAACAAGTCCTTGTAAAAGTTTATGCCCTCTTCTCTCAACAACACGGCAAGCATTTTCTGCTGCATACATGGAAGTAAAATCAAACATAGCGACGTCTGCCTGGCCATAATGGTTAACAGCAAAGTCGAGACTTGGTAGCTGATAACTTGTGGCAAAGTCAGCTGCATCTCTAGCATACTCCATAAGTGCTTCCCTGTCTACATTCTCAGCAGCAAGTAGTCTTGCAGTATCATTGAAATCCTACAAGCAAATACAATTTTAATAAGCAAATCACAAAGTAAAATAGATTTTTCCAATCATATAGAATTTTTATTTCCTTACAACAAAAATACTTTAAAGAAATTATTTTCAGTACATTAATTGAAATAAGAGAAACTATCGAGTGAAACTTGAGCATATAAGCTGTACATTTTTTTGTCATAGTTAATAATCTTTTCTTTTGGAAAGGTTAGAAAAAATTTCCTAATTAGATACTTTTTAAAGTATTTATCAGTTGTAGTAGACATAATTGTATTAAATATTTTATGAAACAAACAAATAATGTTACAAGCAATATTATTAAAGCATTGTCTTGATACTTTTTTACAGCAGATTTTTGTTACTAATCTGTACAATACAGCAGAGCTCATTCTAGACAGAAAAAAGGGCAGGGTGCAGAAGTTTAAAAAAAGGGCATTATTATTCTAAAAAGGCAATAGTTTCTTTCTGTGGGCTTTACACATTCTATTAAAAAACATTGTCAATTAGCAAAAGAAAAAATTATATTTTTCACTTTATAAAAAGTAGCAAAGCAATCATATTAATTACTAATTTTTATTAATAAATTAACATATATATATGGAGTTAATGAGCTAATTAGCTTAGTAATTTGTTTAAAATGCATGCATATATTAATAAAATAATAAATGTATGTTTTTAAGTGTCTGTAGTTATGATTTAATAATTAAAATGATTAATAATAATTATGATTTAATGATAGTGGAATAACTGCAAGCTTTCAAAGACAAGTGCAACAAGGGAGCGTGATGGCTATTTTTCCTTCCCCATATAAATCTATGTATTGACAGCAATGACAAACTAAATAAAAAGAGTTGAAAATAACAAAAGTATAAGAAATTCATTGTAGAGTTTGGGGAAAAAATAAAGAAAGGTTGAGGAAAGAAAGGGCAAAAAGGGTACCATCAGGGCACTAATTTACTTCAGGGGCTACAGAGTGGATTCTTTTGACTAAAAGAGCAGCAGGGTGCTGCACCCTGTTTACCCTGCCTAGAATGAGCTCTGAATACAGTAAAGTTTATAATTGTTGCACACTTTGATTCAAATGTAAAGAACATTCCAGATTTTAATATATTTTAGAATCCTCAAGTCTAGGTTAGATTTTTGGTTTTATTGTTGTACTGTTTTGACAAAACTACACTTGTAATACTAAATCTATAATATACTTTACTATATCCAAATCATTACGTTACATAAGTCAAGTTTTAAAATAATGAATAAGGTTAAATATCCCTTTGAATTAGAAAATGATTTTTTTTAAAAAAAACTTGTTTGGTGTAAATAAAGATATAGTGCTTCAACAATAAATCTAGTGAACTTTAATTAATCATTTCATTAAAATAAGATTTTGTGCAAATAAAGAAAGACAATTTCATATAAATACATACTTTAATTATGACACCTCTTTCTAATAAGCTCTGTTTTTTGGCTGTCATAACAAAGTAATGAGTATCATCTTTGTAGTAAACAATATTTTCAAGGTCAATGGCAGTCTGTTCTCTCATATCCTAAGATTATGAGTCAAAAATTAGAAAAATGTATTTTTTTTATAAGTATTTGTAATTTTTAAGATTTAAATTGTAGGCTTACTTGGAAGAACTTTTGGTTAAAAATAAAAGCAACACCACTTATTTCTGGAACTCTAGCTTCTTCTGGACTATGCCTATTGATGAAATTGGCTGTAACAGCTATGGCTAATTTACCTCGGAATTCCTTGCGGTTGAATCCTGTAAACCAAAGAACATTTTTAAATGAATTTGAATCTCCACTAAATATTAAAAATCTTGCTTTAGTTGATAATAACTTTGTTTAAGAGTTTAAATAGGAAAATAAATTTACCAAGAAGAGTGTTTCGTTTGCCATCAGCTCCTATAAGTACATCAAATTCATACTGAGATATCGGATGATCAGATGGCGATACATTTGCATGCCAACCAATACCTGTTGATAAAAGAATGAATACATTTTCATTAAAGAATTGTTCAATCAAAATTCCTATGCTAGGGAAGATATTTTAAAGAAAAAATACAGGACCAAAAATCAAAAATATACAAAAGTGCAGTTTGCTGATTAACTTTTTGAAATCGAAGCTTTCTATAGATGGTGCTTAGCAGTTTTCAATCTACTGCAACTATTGCCATGAATTCAGAATTAGCACATAGATGGTTATAAAAGTAGGACATAAGCTAGTTCCTTCATTGATTTTAAAACCCATTGAAAATTTTTAAATTCATACACTATTGTTCACTCACAACTGTATTAAACATAGTGCTTTAAGTAAAAACAGTAAAAAGTTAAAACATACTTTAGAAAAGAAAAAAATATTGTGGATGCTGGAAACAGTACAATACATTGACATATCAGAGGGAAAATATTCTAGACAAAGAATCAGTGTTCCCCACAAATGGGGTATTCAAGCCTTGCAATCGCCAAAATTAAGCATCCAGTATTTTAAAAACATCAAAATAATGAATACTGTTTTACTGCTGAATGCTGACAATCAGCTTAACATACCCTAACATTTCACTATTTAGTTTTTGTTTTCTATTGGTAAACTGACTTAGTTTACTTAACTTTTTTCTTGAGTTCTTTTGATTTTACCTCCTCTTTTTTTCTGTTTTATATTGCAATAAGCTTCGTGATAACTTCGTATAAAACTTTCACACTAGGAGCTCCTTCTTATTTACCCACTTTTAAAAAATCTTAAATTTCTCAGACCCAACTACTGAGATTAAATTCCTCTTTGATCTTTCTTTAATTATAATTTGTTTGTTTACGGAAAATTATTTTACAGAAACTGGACCACAGAAAAAAGTACGGATTTCGATAATACGTTTAGTTGAAAAGCGTTTCCACTGCCATTTTTTTAGACCAAAAATGGAATATTTTAATAACTTTAATAATTCTAATGGCAGTATTTTATGTTTAATTAAGAATTTACTTTTTATTTTAATTTTAAGATAAAAATATAAGATCTAAGGGAAAAACAAAAAGACATCCCAGCTATGAGATGATCCACATTTAAATAAATAAATATGATTCTAAAATCATGGAGCAAACTTAGAGAGCAAGTAAAGCAGATTATTAGGATTAAGAATTGCACAGGAACCCATGACCAGAAATATCATCCTATGTGACTAGAATTGCAATGAACTATTTTGACATTATAACTTTGAACAAGTTCTTTTATTTTTCTAAATTATCTTAATTTTATGTTTACTTACAATTATTTCAGCAAATTGCATGCAAATAGATATAGAAATAACTATAGACATAGAAAATAAATAAAATACTAATTTTCATGCACAAAAGTAACATTTATAAAATTTACAGAGAGAAAGAAAATTTTTTTTGTTTAATAACTTTTTTCTCATCAACACATAAACGAATATATACTTTGAAAAAAATTACATTAATTATTTATACGTTTTGACATTCACGTGTTGTAATAAACAATACAGTATTAAAAATATCGAGATTTTAAAAAAATATATACGAAAATCAATCATGATAACTGTAGAAGATTGATTTAAAAAAATAGAATTAAAGGGTTGCGTATTGAATTCTCCACATCATAATATAATATGATTTTCAAATATCACGTCAAAATCAACAGCAACTACTGAAAAAAAAAAGCCAAATTGAAACATTGCAAGGTATTTGTGCAAATCGAGCATACAAAAAAGAAATTATTTAATTTAAATTTTGAGTGTTGTAATAATATTGGAATTTTAAAAACCATGAGAAAATCAATTGAATTAACAGTAAAAGAAAAAAAATATTGAAACACGGATTTAGGATGGTATCAAGCGTGTGGAAAAGTTATTACTGAAATGCAAGATTAGGAATTTCCATCTCGTAATATCAAATTAAAAATTAATTCGATTTAATTGCAGCCAAATAAAATAGAGGACTAACATATCACAGTGATTAAATAATTCTTCTATTACAAATTGTAAATTGCTATCACTTAAAATATAAGTTTTTTTTAATAAAAAGAGAAAAAAAAACATTTATTAGAAAACTTAAAATTAAGATAAATAAATTAAATACACACAAAGAGACAATTCATAATAGGAAAGTGTCCTAGCAATGCACAATAACATTTCGGGTCATGGGCACCATTACAATTCTTAATTCTTATGATGTGCTCTACCCCCCCCCCCCNCCCCCCCCCCCAAGTTTGTCTTATGATTTTACAATAACTCAGTGTAACATTAAAGTAGTATATATTACAGTAACTCGATGAACTGGATAGTATTTTTAAAATCAGTTCACCGAGCAGCGCTAGAATCAATAAACATACGTTCATGACTTTGATCTTCAGGTGGTTCAATTAAACTTTCAAATCCAACATTTTCATGAATCTCAACTCCTAACAGCAAAGCTACTTTCATAAGAATAATTTGCAGTTGTCTTATACCTAAAAAAAGTAAAAACAAACTTCTGTATTCCCTTTTGAATAAGTAATCTTTTTAAAAACATATTTAACAAAGATAGGCAAAATAATCAGGAAAGTCCATAATTAAAAAAGTCTTATACTTTTTGATGCATTCTATTATTCAAAAAAGTACAAAATAATTATAGTACATATGAAAAATTGAAATAAAACTATTGATACATGAAATACATCTATACTAAGGCACATATTAAAACCTTGTAAAATGAGATTCGTATTAACATTATATTAATTGTTAAAGTGTAATCAGCAACTATATTAAAGTTCAACAAGTACCGCATTTGAAAAGTGAAAATCTTAAGATTATTTAGCATTGTAGGAAGGAGACTTGACTCATCTCACAAATCACTAGTACAATATTCCAACCCAGGTTGGTACGGTATTCACCATGTGAGGTTTTTACTGTTGTTTACCATGGTTTCTACTGTCTTGGGAAAAACCTGTTTTTCCCATGATTTTTACTGTATAACTGTATTTGATCTTCAAAAATTTTTAAATTACCTTCTCATATAATTTTATGTGTGTATTTCAAAAAGTAATGCTCATTATCAAAATAAGAGAAAATTTGTAGTTTATAAAAAAAAATTAAAGGCATCCTAAAAGAAAATCACTGTGCACCAATTTTTTCAAAAATGTCAACTTAAAAATGATTGCAAATGAATGAAAAATGACAAATTGAAAGCTTTTGTCTGTAATTTAAACTGAACCTTATGAGATAATGAACATTTAAAAATATACAGATAAAAAAAAAAGATTTATAGTAGTGTGATATTATTAGTGTGTGATTGGTTAATTTAATAGCATTAATAATTTTTTTAATGATTTTTTAGCAATTTTTATACAATTACAAAATCAATTTTTTTTTAAAAAATCTTACATATAAAACTCAAGTTGTTTTAATTTTTTATAAAACAGGGTGCGTAGCCAAATCATTCAACAAAAAATAAGCACCTTTCAAGCATTCAAAAAATATTTTTAAGCACTTTAAAAAAATTCATAATTAGGTAGGGTTTGAAAGTTTTTAACAAATGACGGTTTTATCTTGTTTTAACTGTCATGCGAAAAAAAAAAAACTCTTTTGGCATGGTTTTTGACAATTGTCAAAAATCATGAAGCTTGAATCATGTAAAATGAATGGCGTTTTCATACCTATGGACTGACAATATACCCCGAAGTAGATTGGGGTTGAATGAATTGTGAAAACGCTGAATAGAACAATGTGAACTGTGTCTTTTTTCATACTTCTTAGCAAAAATCAACATGGTGAAGGAAAAATCTCATTTTGAAAAAACAAAAATTTAGCACTTTTTAAAAGCACCTAATGAAAAAAGCACCTTTAAGCTCTTTTTACAAACTTATGCACCATGTAAAATTCATTAAATTTAATTTTTTTCAACTGTTACTTCATAGTTTTCATTCATAAATGATGTATCAAAAAGATTGGAAATTAATATTTGTATTAAATTAGATCACAATTATAAATACAAAGAAAAAAAAAAAACATGACTTTTTGAATAAAATGTACCTGGAAGAGAGGCAAGGCACATTTTCGTAGCCTTCAGAAACTTTTCACAAATTAACAGACTTTGATAACTATCCATTTAACCTTCAATGTAATATCGTCATAAAACTTTTTAAGTGGGTGTCCAATCAAAAATAATAAATTAGATTACAGTTTGAATGGGGAAAACCAAAGTCTATATTTATTTAAAACAGTTATTGCTGAAACAAAATTCATCAATTTATTTTACCGTCAAATCAAGAAAGCAATAAACTTATTTTATATTTTAAATTAATTATATTAAAAATACAATAAATTTACTTACTAATATGGTCAATTGAGCCTGCACAAAACTTTCCAAAGAACTTTTTTGCACCAAGGTTTCTCAAATCATGAATAACAAAAGGCCACAAATGCAGTACATTATTTCTAGAATACCTATCTCTTTTTTCTGCTACAACTACTTTAGCTCCTAATAATTGAGCTTCTATTGCTGTTCTTAAGCCACAAGGACCAGCCCCTATTATAAGAACCTATCAAAGTAAACAATAAAACAATTTTACATATATTTTATCCTCATCTAGAAGGAAATTTCTTTTCCTTAATCTGTTTGATATAAACACATTCAGAGCACATTTTTTAGTAGTTCTTATTGCTTTCATTTAATTAAGGGGATATATATATAGAAAAGCTAATAAATTCACTCAATCTGAATGTTAAAAGTTTTAACAATAACATTTGAGGGAAAAAAATAATGTGAAAAACTAAACAAGAAAAACTCCAGTCTCAGAGGGGAGCAATGGTAGCCTTAGAAAGCAAATCATGACAGGATATAGTGGTTCTAGGTGGAATGGAAGTTTGGTGAGGGATAATATCATGAACATCGGAATCAGATCATTCTAGATTCTAAAGCATCAAAATGAGCTGGTTGGTTAGACAGGAGTGGAAAGAATTTCGATGTAGGAGAAGTTAGATTTATGCCACAAAATTAGATTAGATTATTTTACACCTAAACTAGCATGTTAAACAGTTAAGTTAAAAAATAAACAAACTTAATAGATATATAATACTTATTGCATACAAGTTATTCCTCCAATAGCTAAAAGCAATGTTAAACATAAGCAAAAGATATTTTTAATAACATGTATAATTTATATTTATTAAAGCATAATTTAAGCTAATTTTATTTTGAATTTAAAAATTGGTTTTTGAAACTATAAATTTGTTGTTGGCAATTTCAAAAAAAAATTTAAATAACAATTTTAATTTATGTCTAACAAAAACTTAAAACCAGATATTTGAAATGTTACCTTTTAAAAAAAAAGCAAATGGTTGACTTACATTTGTTTTAAAAAAATTCAGACATATCTGACAGTTACCTGTGAAACTTAGGAATTGTGTCTTACGATTCTCACTTCCCTGTGAGACAAAAAGCTGTGAGAGAATGTTGTTTAAATAATACAATGAGATATCATTGTTATGATGTTCCATATTTATATGCTATCACTTAACTATTAAATTTTGCTAGCACCGGCAACAATATTCTTTGAAGATTTTTAGCAAACATAATCTTTTGCAACTAGAATATATAGCAAGTAACCAAGAGAGGTGGTTAGAATATTCAGAAAAAATCAAGGAAAAAAAAACTTTAAAAGATATACTTGCATAGGATAGATACACAAAGATTCAAGAGTTTAAACTTATTTAGGGTACAAAACACTCTACAGCATAAGGCGTTTAAACAGCCTTCTTTGAAAAGTAAGTTTTGGAGGGCAACAAAATTTTCTTTTTCAGAATAAATAAATAAATAAAAACTTGTAAATTGTAAAAATAATTAGATTTGGAGGGGAAAAAAATCCCTACATGGGATACACAAAGATTCAAGTGTAAAAACTTATTCTAACTAAAAAGCGGGCACAAAACATCAAAAAATATATGGAGTTTAAACTTGCTGAAACTGCTTTAAAAATCAAGTTTTGGAGGGGAAGAAAACAGAAATATAAATCAAAGTTATTTTGAAATATAGAATTTAGAAATAAAAGAGGAAAGGTGTAATAAATAAAAGCAAAAAAATTATTTCATAGCTGCCAATATGAAAAGAAAAAAAATCTACTAGATTTTATGAAAAATTAATATTTTATACAAATTACTAAAGAGAACATGAAATAGTATTACACACACAGAAAATGTTATAAGAATTAAAAAGAAATAAAACACTGAATAAGTATATTACACAATAACTGATCTACACATTTAAACTCACAATAACAATATTTCCCAATTGCAATTAACATTATGGACTAGTTCATTGAATTTATAATTTTGAATGGTAAAAGATACCTCAGACACAAACTTTAAAAAAAAAAATTATGATAATTCTTAATAACTTTATTTTTAAAATAAATTCTGAATAATAATAATAATAATAATTTTTTCAAAGAAGGATTTCAGTTTTAACTTAAAGTACTCTAAATATATTTACATCGGATTTTAAAAATGTACACGGCTTTTCAGTCCTCACTTCTTACTTGCTTCATTTACTTCAGTACAAAATAAATGAAATAAAAATACAGGTATTTTTTAAGAACTTCCCTAATTTAAGAGAACTTTCTAAATACATATTAACCATGAGAATCATTAACTAACTCAAAGAGTAGACCAAAAGTAGCTGACAAGATCCAACAGTCGACTGGATTTTCCAGTCGAGTTACCAGCTCTACTTTTTAAGATACTTAAATCAAATTAAAAATTTTTTTTAAAGGTTTAAATAAAAGCATAAATAAACTTACTCTAGCGTTAGGACATGATTTTCCTCTATTATAACATTTATGACTTGCACGCTTATCTAATTTGGCCCATAATGAAGCAGCCCTCCAGGAATGGAGTTTTGCTTTTAACCTTGGATAAAAGTTTGTAATGTTAGTTGGCTTTAACCTTAAGAGTTCACATAATTGTCGGTAAGTGGCCAGCACTGATTTGAAAGTTGCAGCAGACACAAATTGGTCAAAGAGTTCTGAAGCCATTGCTGACTCCGGACTAGTGGCTGTGCCACGGGGCACAACTCTAACACGGTTCTCCATGGGGGCTCCAGGGGTTCCCACAGCAGCAGCATATTTCTACATAGTTTTAATTGTCATATTTCAGCTGTTCCTATAAAAGAAATGCAAACACAATTAAAAATGTAAAATTATGACAACAAATATAACAGTACTAATCAATAATATGTTAAAAATTCAACATTAAGAAATCAAACTTTCACTTAAAATTGTGCTTGTTATAATCAGCAAGAGTTGAAAAAAATATTAATAAATAAGACAAAAAAATTTATGCTTAACCAGAATACCAATTACATTTCTATAGATAATGCTTAACATATAAAAAAAAAGTGCATGCCTAATAAAAAACTGATTAAAAAAGAAAATTCATAATAAAATCATTAATGGAGTATAGAAGGTAAGGCATGGAAATTCCCTTTTTGACGTCCAAAATAGACAAATAAAAAAACAGCTATATGTAAATAAAAGTTATGTGAAAGTCTTAAATTATAATTTTGAACTAGCTGTCTAAAAAAATAATTTGCAGCTTAATAAACATATTTCGCTTATATCTATTTAAATACAAATACTATTAAAAATATGCAGTTTGTGTACGTAAATAATGAAGAAAGACTTGTTTTGCCAAGAATAATTCCCTTCCACCCTAGATTTAAATTTATTCTTCATTTTATATTTAACTGACAAATTAGGTCTTTTCTTTACAAATAATTCATGAGGATATTTTAATTTAATCAGAAGAGAGTTTTTAATAATCATTTAATATTTTAACTATTTTAGGTAGAAATATTCAGTTTTTTAATTAAAATATTGTTATTAAATAAAATTTAGCTTATTGATAAATCTTTTACAAACCTTTCATAAGAAAATGATAATAATTAAAACCAGAATTAAAAAAAAAAAAAAGATATAAAATTTAAAACAAAAAATCCATTTCAAAACAAAAAAGTCCCATATTTTTAATGATGATCTGTGTCTTGTTTTACCAGCCCTGATTTTTTTCAAATAAAATTCCAAAATTGTATTTCCATTATAATTAAAATGCAGATTTTAGATAAAAGTAAATTAGATACAGGAATGTTTATTAAATTTGAAAATGTAATTACTTTCAGATTTCAATTTGATGAAAAAAGGTTGAAAAATGCATTTTACATTTCTTTAATTTAACTTGTAAAGAACTTACATCCTGTCTATCACGAGACTTCTCTACCTCTTCTAAAGTGAAAAAAAATTTCGAAAGAACTCAAAAATCACATTTTTCAATCTTCAAGTTGTATTACGTTAGAAACATGAATAGTTTATGACCTTCATTTCCCAAGTTTTCAAGACATTTACGGGCTCGCCGCTAATTTTGACCTTGAATTAAATCACAACAAAAACAGCATTATGCCAGAAAAAGGAAAGGGGGAAAAAAAAAACCTTTAAGATTCTTTAGTAACAGATTTTAAATGATGGGGAAAATTAAGTACTAAGAATAAATAAGTAAATGACATTCAATGCATCAGAAAAACTGTTACTCATGGAAAATAATAACCTCGTTTATACGTCATTAACTTACAAATCAAAATACAACAATTGGATATTTCGTTTACATTCTCTTTTAATTAGTTTTGAAAACTACATGAAAGGTCATAGCTATTATTTTTTCTAAATTTAAAATTAGTATTTTATTTTAGATCACTGGAAATAAATCTTGCATACAGTGAGTATCTAATATATATAATTCTCTTACGAGGCTCCCAAATTTTGGCTGTATTTCTTTTCCACCAGTTTTCATTTTTAAAGAAGCACTTTGTACAACTAAATAAGATTCTTTTCACAGCACTTAAATATTTACTTTATTCTCTTCATATATGCAGAGAACAGTCGGCAAAGAATTCTGTTACGTCAAAAAACATATCGCTAAAAAAATAACGAATTCTAAAAGAAATCAAAATAAACAACTTAAAAAATAAAAATGCTGTTGCCAGCCATAGAATTTTTTGAAAGTTAACTTAGCAACATAAATCAAAATGACATAGAAGCGCAACTAGATCAAAATTATGATACCTGAGTGCTTGACGTAATAAATCCTTCAATTCTATAAGTGTTGAATCACCAAATGCCCAGATAATATTGAAATGTACAGGTTTAGAATTTTCTACAGTGAAAAGCTTTCGGAACTTCAGTATTCAAAAAAGTATACAAAAGCTTGACGTTAAGAACGTATCCAACGAGCGAGCAAAGCGNCAAATCAAAATACAACAATTGGATATTTCGTTTACATTCTCTTTTAATTAGTTTTGAAAACTACATGAAAGGTCATAGCTATTATTTTTTCCAAATTTAAAATTTGTATTTTATTTTAGATCACTGGAAATAAACCTTGCATACAGTATCACAATAATTTTAATATAAATGATTGAATGACTAATAAAATAATGAGAAATAACCTATTATCAATAATTTACATCGCATATGCCTTGGAGCACGGCGCGAAATTTTAACTCGCCATTGGCGAACGAATATTTAGAGCTGGCGGGTAAATTATGTCTTGCAAAATACAGTGTTCGAATCAAACTATCATAAGTTCTTCAGAGTTTGCTTTTACGTAGGTACAAGGCGACTTTTCGAACGATCCAGTTTATCGTTTCCACATGACGTCATCATTTTTTTTTTTTTTAATAAAAAATAATTCTTTTGTAATATTTTAAATAATTCTGCCAGAAAAAGAAAACTTTAGAAAAAGTTACAATCTTTAAGAATAACAGAAATCAATTTATGATTTTTAGAAACTTAAGAAACATTCTTACAGGATTTTGTTTGATTGTATTGCTTAAAAATGCACCAACAAGATCATCATTTTTTAAATTTATAGTTCATATGAATTTTTTATTTTGATGAAAAAAGTTACTATAAAAAATACAGTTGGTTCAACGTTGGAAAATATTCTGTATTAAAATTTCGAGTAAGTTTTCAAAATATAATTCAACACAAAATCGTTTGTTTATAATAAAAAGACAGATTATACTTTTATATGTAAGTAATTTGATATTTAAATAATTTTATATTTAAATAATTATTAGACTTTTTCGGCGGTTTCCGATCTGCAATGTCAGAAGAATTCAGAGGGAGTGCGTTCCAAAAACTCCAAGTCAGAGAACTCACTCAGTTACTTCCGGATATTATTGTAACCCTTCCTCATTTCTGTTTCTTTTTCGACAAATGTCTCGTAGCAGACAATAAAAGAATAATGACTTGCATTATCATTGCTTTATTGGCTCAGTATTCAAGTGATTGTACGTTTTTTAGGCGAGAAAAACACTAACGCGCCAAACTACTGTAAGAAAATGGTAGAAACAAGTTGCCGTAGATTAGACAACGTTGAAAAGTTTGTCACAAGTACAGTACTTACGAATTTATTACAATAAACTGCTCCGATGAAAGCGATTTTCTGCCCTTTCCTTTAGTTAGTTTATTTTAAAAGCACACAAGACAATTAAAAAAAGAATTATAATTTTTTTTATTAAAGTTAAAATTCTTTTTAAATATTAAATACTGAAATTAAAATTAAACGACAACTAAATTTCTGTAGCACAATGTCCTTTGTAAGTGACAGTAATTTTAAGTCTTATGGTAATTGGTGTTTCCAACCAAGCACATGTTTAATGTTTATCTAATCAGAATTCAGGAAAACTCTTGAATTTCTTATGCACCGATCCCAAAACGTAAGTTTCAATTGGCCTTTACAAGTTGAATATTTCATTTTCTCACATAATTTAATTATATGCCGTTATTACTGATGCGCTATTAATCGCACGAGTTGTTTTAGTCCTTAAAGTTCATGGTAATAGAAAACAACTATGCGAGCCCATAATCATTTTTTTTAAAAATTTTTATTATCAAGCAAATCTTACACAATAGACGAAATTTATTCCGATTATTTATATCAAAATTATTAACGCTCATCGAAAATAAATATATACTGGATAACAAAACCAGGCTAAGTATCTTATTACATTGATTATAATGATGGATCTCATATCATAGACTAACTGGGAGAAAAAAAATGAAGATAGATTTCTTTTTTCAATGAGATCATTTCAAAAAGCGGTCACATTTGTAAATAGAACGATTTTTTAAAAGAAAAAGTAGAATACTGAACGGCTTATATTAAACAGTATTATCATTACAATAACACGTATCTTTATTTAAAAAGAAAATTATTTTATAAAAATAAAACAGTTCAGTTTATTTCGTTAAAAAATTTTTTAAGGGTGGCCATGAAAATTTAATAATTTTATTTATCAGTGGAAGATCATATAGCGACCAAGGAATATGCAATCTCCGTTTTCTCTATAATAATAAAAATCATGTGGGTTTCGAGCTCATATTTTGGAGTCTTTGGGTTCAGCCCTTCAAAGAAACAGAATAATCACACAAAACTGTTCAAATTAAAGTCATTCCTTGTTTAAACAAAACAAGTAAAACAAGCAAATGCGTATTAAAGTATGATTTATAGCATCTATGTGTTAAAATTAGCTTTCGAACGTACAGGCATTTCTTATAAATCTTTATTTTTAATAACAACAATGGAAGTAAAAAAATAAAATAAACATGTTATTTTCAATAAACGCATTTGCATTTCAGTAAGTAAGTTGTAATTTTGTGAAAAATATAATTCGATATACATTAATTTTTTACTCAGACTATAAATATTTTTATAGAAATAATTAACAACTTGCGCAAAATTTAAAAGCTAATAAAATCCTTCAACTATTCTTCGTATATTTCAAAAGAAAGCATTTATTGAAACATAGTTCTAAATAGTGTGGAGCTTGATGTTCTGATCTCGCTTTGCTGTCCTATAATTATAATTTCAGAGTTGAAGAGTAGGTATTCGAAGACAAGATATGAATTATTTTAAATAAATCGCATCAAAAAGTTCATCAGAAAAATATTAAAAAAAATTATAAATTTTTTACTCTTATTTGATCAATTACGTAAATATTATGTACTGCATTTAACAGCATGACAAACAATTTTATAGAAAATTTAATTTAAAAAAATCAATTCGAATATAATTAACATAATAAATAAAAATAATTTTTTGGCACA